TTTCTTTCCTCTCATTTCTCAAATTTGAATTGGAATGTCCTTCTTTCCTTTCTTGTTAGTATAGGCGCCTCTCCCGTCGCTCACGCTCCTCACGCTAATCACACCACTCAGGCTAAAGCTCATATTAAGGTAAGCCGTATTCTCTCTATTCTTAAGCTCGTTCTAGTTGAGAGTGGGTTCTAGTTTAGCTCATTATGGTTGAGAGCTGTTTTTTCTATGTGATGCCTCTATCCATTTCTCATTTCGTATCCCGTTCTTTCGTTTCCCCGACGAATACCGCGACGACGGAATTCCAGTTAAGTTTCCAAGTTTCTGTTTCTCTTTCTGCTGTCGTCTCTCCCTTCCTCTCGTTTCATCGCGCTACTCTCATCTTCCGCGATTCTTGCTACTCAGCTACTTCCCATAATCCAGTGGTCAAGTATGTACTCTATTTCCGTTTGTACTAGTAGATCTATGTCTATTCACTTTCCTCTTTAGTTCCTCTTTTCTTTGTCTTCCGTTTCCTAGCATTGTCTAGCTAGGTAACAAAGTAGTCCTTGAGAAATCTAGTGTGCTTAGTCGAATAACGGCTTGCATACGTTTTCAACCTACCTCGTTGTTAGTTCGTTCTTTCCTCTGTTATTTCATCCGTGTTGATTCTGTCTGACATCTAAGTCTATAATGACGTCCCTACTGTTTATTCCTTTTCCTTAACTGATTTCCCTATGTTTTGTATGTATCTCCATTCTCTCTTTCTCTCTTACCGTAAGTTATTCACTTCGTCGTTCAGCCTGTCATTTTACCCTGTTCTCTATTGTTTCGGTTTCCCAATCCATTCGCATGATCTTCTTAAAATCTTTATTTGTTTGTTTTGTACGATCTTGCTGTTATGTTAATTCAAACGCTGCAGCATATTGATATCTGGTTTGAGGTACATGTGTTTTCTGTATCAAATTTCCAACATCAATTCTTACCCCTCTTGTGCGCAGGTCTTGAAGTGAAGTTAAGTGTATATTAACTCTTGGCTTGTTAATATTGTAAGATTTTTACTTCCGTACCCCTTATCATGTTCCTTCTTGTTGTGTCATCGTCTCTTCCTTTTGTTCCCTTCCTTCTGTACGCCCTTATTCGTTCTTCCTAGTTTCTCTTCCGTTCCTTCTTTTTGCTTGCTATTTGATATAGCAGCAAAAATTGCACTAGTTTGTCTTTCAGGTTACACTTATGTACTCTCAGATATCATGTGTAGTCCTGAACCTCATTCCAGCATTAACATTCTTTTGTAGGGCTTATCCCTTTCGTATTTTTGATAATTGGTTCCGTTTGCATTAAGATCCATTTCTCTCCCCCTTTCCCCCTTCTTTTTTAATTTGTTCTGTATTATCAGAGGACTTGTTGTACCCTTCAGAGAATCAAGTTCATCTTGATGGATTTGGGTGGTCACTTGTAGGATTTATTGTTTTAGGTAGCCTCATTATTTAGACTGCATCTATTTTCTTTATATGTGGGTTTGTTTTCTTGTGCTTATGCATGTGTGTGTGTGTAAATGGGTGTGTAGGTGTATGCATTTTTTATTATCCATTCCATCATTGCATCAATAATGCATTGTCAGAATAGTAGCCTTAGGGTTTGGGGTAGCGTGAGCGAGAGAAACAGGAAGGTGAGGTTCACTACAGCAAGGTTACAAGATATAGCAAAGAAAGGTGAGCACATTGGTGCACCACCACTGTAGCTACACTAGAACACACAGCAAGCAGGGTATATAACAAAACTTAACACACCCCCTTAACCTGCTTGCCGTGATAACTAGTACAGGTACACAAGGCGCAGCGGAAGAGGGTAGAGAGGTTAGGAAGGAGGAGAGGAGAGAAGAGGAGAGGAGAGGAGGTGGGGGGCCAGGACCGGCGGACCCGCTTACGAACCTCCTTTTACAAAGGGGAGGTGAGAGAGGGAAGGGAGAGGAGGTGGGCTAGGCGGGCTTGAGCGCGAAAGCTCATAGCGATCCCCCCCCGTTAAGAACCCCCTAGTCCTCACCCCCCTCGTCACTCAACCCCGTCAACCTCACACCTTCCGCACCTGTCTTCTCCCGCCACCCCCTCACCCTTCTGCACTTCTCTCCCCCCTCCCCCCCCCCCCCTACAGCAACAGTTGCTGCAGGGAGAGAGGAAGAGGGAAGGGAGGGAGGAGTGGCAGGCTCCTCACACCCGCCCCCCCCCTCCACAACCCCTTCCCCCTCCCTCCCCCCTCCCCACGACGGAAGCCGCGGAAGGGAGGGCGGGTGGGGGGGGGGCGGCGGTAGCTGCTGCTGGCGCTGGCGGATTGGCCGCGGCGCTGGCCTCCGCGCTGGCGGATTGCGGGGTGACGGGGGCGACGAAACGGGGGCCGCGTGGCGACGAAATGGGGGGGCCACGTGGCGACGAAACGGGGGGGCAGCGGGCGACGGGCAGGGCGTCCGCGGGGCAGCCGACGGGGCGTCCGCGAGGCAGCCGACGGGGCGTCCGCGAGGCAGCCGACGTGGCACGTTCGGGGGGACGGGCAGGGCGCGCGTGACGGGCGAACGGGGAGAAAAAATAGCGCATTTCGCGCTGTAGTACGGGCGGGCCCATGATTCTTAAAAAAAAGAGAAGGTTCCGGGAAAGAACCAGCTCTGTACCATGTCAGAATAGTAGCCTTAGGGTTTGGGGTAGCGTGAGCGAGAGAAACAGGAAGGTGAGGTTCACTACAGCAAGGTTACAAGATATAGCAAAGAAAGGTGAGCACATTGGTGCACCACCAATGTAGCTACACTAGAACACACAGCAAGCAGGGTATATAACAAAACTTAACATGCATGTCTATGAGTTTTAAAAAAGGATTCAGCTATCATTTCCGAGAAGGCTCTTTGTCCACTCAGTGAGTTTGACACTTGAGCTGGATTTGATAGTGTCGACCCTTTTTTTAGAGTTCATAGATTGTGTTATTCCATGTGTTAGCTGATTATTCAAATACTAAGCTGCTGACCTTCCCCCCCATGCTAGGCAGGGGATGCGCGGTAGCTTAGTTTTTGGGTTTTCCGCTTTCACGCATTTCCATCATTTATTATCATTTATAAATATTATCGTATGCATTAATTTTTTCCATCATTATTTGCATTCCCTGCACATAGATAGCCTCGTACATGCTCATTATTCATCTCACCATACTACTACATGCATACTACCTACATTCATCATAGCATGCGAACTTCAGACTGACAGTAAATATTTCAATACAAGTAGCGACCACAATGAAACACCCACAGTACGGTATGTGAAATAATGTAGGATATTCACGAATGGTGTTGGTTACAATATTAGTACGTAGTTTCTTGGTTTTTTTCTTCATATTTATATAAAATATGAAAAAAATTGTACATAACGATTGTAATAGGTTGCTTCGCAACCCAAAAAATCCTCTCTCTAGGAATGACCCTGGACCTTAGATCCCAATGAACATAGGCTCTGTTCTGTAGGCCCTGGCGGTGGGGGAGCGAGGGGAAATAGGTAGCTTCCCTCTCCTTCGTTTTTTTGTTTGGAACGGCTAACCGTTCAGCAAACGGTGCCGAGCCAATCATTTCCCCTCCGAACCTGTTCGAGGGGAAATGGCTACAGAACAGCCACTTACCCTCTGTGGTTTAGGCTCCAAGGAAACTACCAAATACCCCTCCGCACCTTCCTTCTCGGGCAAAAATCAAGCCACTCGCCCCGCCCTTTGAAACCCGCTTTTTCAGAGCGTGGCGAGAGACATGGGAGGGAGTGTCAAGATAAGAACGTACTTAGATACTAGGGTTTAACTAGGGCCTAGTCTTAGGAGCCTAGGCCCAACGAGGATCGAGGGAGTTTGTACAAGGATGAGGAGAATGGAGTGGAGTTCACTATAGCACACACGGTACATATAGCAATCTAACAAAGAAGGTGCACCACCAACAGTTCATAATGATGACTACAGTAACTACAGCAAGCAGGATATTATATAACTTTGACAGGGAGGTACAGGGGGGGGGGACACCCACGTTCTACCCTAGATGGACATGTACCAACGTCGCGCTTAACCCATCCTCTCAAGAACAACCCGCTCGTGAAAAACAAGGCCGAGCCATCTTGCACGACGTGGTTGGGAAAATGGGTTGGAGGTTTGCCTTTAGTTTTTCAAACGCTGAACCCCCGGGCAATGTTTTACACTCCTCATTAGGGTTGATCGAGTCGATGTACCCATGCCTATGGGGCGCGAAATTGAGCAGGTAATGCATCATTTACCGTCGGCAATTTCCTTCCCAGCTCCAGAAGTTTCGCGCTTTCGGTTGTAGCGGGGTGGGGGTGATTTCGACAGGGAAACTGCTTAGGAACCCTCGTCATTTACTTTCACCCCCCCTCCTTGTCAGAGGTCCACTGGGGATCCCCGATGATCCTAGGGAAGGGTTACAGGCACGTCGGCCTGGGGGGTTATGGGCGCACTCACCCGCTATATAAACAAGCCCTTTTATCCCAGTGGTTAGTGACTGGGATTCTGACATGGTATCAGAGCGAAGGTCTCGGGTTCGATTCCCGGTGTGTGCACTTCGGGCATCCCAGTGCGGGGGGGTGTCAGAGGTCCACTGGGGATCCCCGATGATCCTAGGGAAGGGTTACAGGCACGTCGGCCTGGGGGGTTATGGGCGCACTCACCCGCTATATAAACAAGCCCTTTTATCCCAGTGGTTAGTGACTGGGATTCTGACACTCCTCTCCCCCACGGCATGTGACTGCAGAACAGAGCCATACTAACCTTTGAAAGCGCAGTGAACTCAGGTTCAGGGTCATTCCTAGACAGCATTAAAAGATCTGCATTAAAATGAACATCCACATTTTAATGCAGTTCTTTTGACTTGACAGTGCAGTGGAGCAACTGAGATACGGTAAGACCTAGGGAAGCTTCAGCTACATTCCCCAACAGTTTCATTCCATTAAAACCACTAGACCATTGATTCAATCATTACCCTCAGATGCAACAGGTGCATATGTTTTCTGTCATTGCGGTAGAAGTATGATGTCCACATTGTTATCTCGTCCTTGCAGTAACATCTCCGCATCAAAAGATATAATCTTCCTCTTCTTTGCAGCTCGTAGCGTTCCTCCAAGTGCCTCAAAAATGTCTCCTGTCTCGTCAAAAAGCTTGCCAAACTTCACCTGTGTGGTAAAACAAATGGACAGGGACAATGAAAACAAACAAGATACCAGGAAACTGACAATGAAGGCAATGGTTGGAGGTAAACCAGAGGCATCTAGTTGCCAGGAGGGCAACACAGCACAGTCACACGTGAGAAAACGTGAATGATGAAATGATGCACAATGTGAAGCAATTAAATAAATAAATAAATAAATAAATAAATAAATAAATAAATAAATAATAAAAAAAACGCATTCCAGCTTGGGTTCATGCAACATTCAGAAACATCGCAAGCGCGCGCGCACACACACACACACACACACACACAGAGAGAGAGAGAGAGAGAGAGAGAGAGAGAGAGAGAGAGAGAGAGAGAGAGAGAGAGAGAGAGAGAGAGAGAGAGAGAGAGAGACAGAGACACAAACACAGACAGAGACAGACAGACAGAGACAGAGACAGAGACACAGACACAGACACAGACAGAGACACAGACAGACAGACACAAACACACAGACAGACAGACAGACAGACAGACAGACAGACAGACAGACAGACAGACAGACACCCCCCCCCCCCCCCCCCCCACACACCAACACACACACACACACCCCACACACACCCACCCACACACACACACACACACACACACAACACACACACACACACACACACACAAACACACACACACACACACACACACGCGCGCACGTGCGCACGCACGCAAGCACGCACTCACGCACACACAGATTTATATGCATGGACGGATCCCTCCCCGTCAAGCTAGCACAGGGAACGCTTAATGCACATTATGCGAAAAAACAAACATTTAGGTGGGGATTGGATCCATTACACTCACCGTGACGGATCCATCTGCCTGCTTCTCCCCCAGCTTTGTAATTTCCTCCTTGAGCTTTTCAATTTCCTCATCCACATTCATGATTCCCCCCCTGACTTTGTTTGCCTGCCAGCCTGCTTTCAGCGACGTTTCTGTTTCGGTTTAACAACCTTTGAAAGATAAGGATCAGTCTGTGACTTGACTGAGAACGTAGGTACATCGGGGAGGAGGAAAGACAAGATAGGGAAATGAGTTCGCACGAACATTGACAAAAAGCAGGACTGACAAATCATGGAGCTTCGACAAATGAATAACGACAACAACCAGCAAGCGACGGCAACTTGCGAAACGGACGGTGTGCTCACCTTCACGAGCTTCACTATCAAGGATCTAGCGATATGACCGTTGCAACCAGACCCAAGAAACGATTAGTGGATCGACCGAGATCAAGCGGCTGGAACGAGATTCCGAGGGAGAAGGCTGATTGGAAAGGTGAAATCCCAAGGCTGGTACAGAAGGATCAGGAAAATGGTATTCTAGAGTGTAGACGGTGGGGACAGCTTGGAGTCATGGCAGGTGAGTGTGCCGGTAAAAAAATCGCTGAGTACCACGCTAAAAAACTATAAACGGCTCATTGAATTCTTTAGACCGCAACGGATCTTAATTGACCGCATTCAGACGCACGTTTGGAAGTTATGCTGGGAAAACCTTTTGCCTTCGGGGGTGTCCAAGGAATGAAGAGGAATTCGAGGAGCGAAGAAGGGTGACAGGAGGTGGGGATGGGCTGACGAGTTGAGGGGTTTGGTAAGCGTTGGGAGCCGATTGGTTTGGCTGAACGGGCTCTGGACAAATTTGATGAAGCAATCCTTAGGAACGTCTTGTCTTCGAAGCAGGTGATCTTAGCAAGGCTTTATGCAACGTGTTCATGCGCCCCTTGATACAACGACAGTTGTTAACATACAATGGTAGTGCGGAAGTTGATAAAGCAAAAGCCGCGGAGAGGTAAATTTTCAGGCAAGAATTTCAAAAAGCGCGAAGTCCTTATCAACGCAGAGGAGCAGGCGTGAATCGAGGCGAAAACTCTGGGACTGAAGTACACCCCGCCGGTTGGAGGGAAAAAGAAGAAGAAAAAGCCCAAGTGCTCCCGATGGTTGTTTCCAGGAGCACACTACCCCGGAAAACCCGCGCCTCCTCGAAAAAACGCCCGCGGAAGTGACACGGAGAGTATAGATGGTGACGTGGACAGATGTATTGCTGACGTGGATGCGTCGGAGATGGATAAGGGGGTGGCCGAACGAAAAGGCGCAGGAAGATTGCGGTATTTCGAGCAGATGGTTGGACAGGAGAGGACGCAGGGCGGCGAGCTTGATAGCGTGACGTTTTCGCGAGCGAAGGAGCGAGAAAAGGAGGAGAGTCGCGGGAAGAAGCGCAGGGAGAAGGAGGAGAAGCGCGAGAGGGAGCGCCGGGAAAAGGAGGAGCGCCTAGCGGAAAAACGCGCGAAACGGGAGAGGGAGAGTCGAAACGGTGTAGAAGCACACGGGAATGCGGACCTGTCAGGTTCCGCTGCGGAGCTAGCATCCAATGCAGCTGAACCGGTCAATGGACTTAGGGTTAAAGCGTTGGGTGGGGTTGCGTCTTCTGCGGGCAAGCCGTCTGCTGGGGTTAAAGCATCTGCCGAGGTTACAGCATCGGGTGGGGCGGAAGTGTCTAATGCAGCAGAAGTCAGTTCGAGCGAGGACGAGGAGGAGGTGAAGAGGCAGGCAGCAATCAGCTCTGTCGTGGTTGAAGGGTCGCATATCATGGGCGCTGCTGCTGCTTTCCGGTGAGACCCTAATTAGGGTTTTGGGCTCGGGTTCAGGGTAGAGGCGAAGAGGCTGGCCGCGATCAGCTCGGTCGTTGTCTAAGGGACGCATATCATGGGCGCTGCTGCTGCTCCTACCACGTTCAGGTGAGACCCTGAATAGTTCGAGTTTGGGGTGCAGGGTAGAGGGGATGAGGCAACGGCCGATCAGATTTGTAGTGGTTGAAGGGATGCGTATCATGGGCGCTGCTGCTGCTCCTACCACGTTCAGGTGAGACCCTGAATAGTTTGGGTTTGGGGTGCAGGGTTGAGGGGATGAGACAAGAGGTGATCAGCTTTTTCGTGGTCGAAGGGTCGCACATCATCGGCGCTGCTGCTGATCCCACGTTCAGCTGAGACCCTGAATAAGTTAGGGTTTGGGGTGCAGGGTAGAGGGGATGAGACAAGAGGTGATCAGCTCTATCGTGGTTGAAGGATCGCATATCATGGGCGCTGCAGCTGCTAATGCCACGTTCAGGTGATACCCTGAATGGATTAGGGTTTGGGGTGGAGGGGGAGGCGATGAAGGCAGGCGATCAAGTCTGTCGTGGTCAAAGGGATGAATATCATGAGCACTGCTGCTAATCCTGCCATTTTCAGGTGGGAAGCTCAGGAGATTAGGGTTTGGGTACGAGGTGGAGGCGAGAAAGCAGGGAACAATAACCGCTGTCGTGGTTGAAGGGACGCACATAATTTGTGCTGCTGTTAATCCGACCACGTTAAGGTGAGAGCCTCTATAAATCAGGGTTTGGGGTTCAGGGTATAGGCACGTAGCCGTTAGTTTTCTGGTGGTTAATGAGTAGCACATGATCGGTGTTGCTGCAAGCGCTCTGCTCTGCACTCCCTGCAAGGATGAGTTTGCAGGGGTTAGGGTTTCATACCCACGGTCTGACCCTCAGTTTGTTGGATAAACATGAAAGCACCAAGGTCTTTGTGAGGATGACTCTGTTCACTCGTGTCCGTCATGCTTGTTTTGCCTGTGTGACCATGCTTGTTGTGTGACAGGCACAAGCGCAAGGCAAAGAGGGGACTTCACTCAACCCTGGCGAGCAAGGAGAGGAGGCGGCTGAGGAAGATGGGTATACAGCCGGATGGGGAGGAGGAGGGGAGTGAGAGTGAGGATGAAGGGGAGGATGAGGGAGGGGATGAGGGAGAGGGGAGAGGCGGAGGAGAGAAGACGAAAGACCTGAAGCTGAAGCACTATCAGATTCGGGTGAGTACTGTGTACTGTTGATTTGGATGTATGTTGGAAAGGAGGAAAAGTTTCCCATTTTTCTGCTTCCTTTTTCTGTGATTCCATTCTCAGGTTATTCCTCACTTACTGGTCACCATGTGCGCCTGGATTGTGCCCTAGCCTTTTCTTCCGTGCCCCGCCAGTCTATTTTGTCGTTTCCATCTCTCGCCGTTCTGTCCCAGGCCATTCTGTTAGCTTATTGTTACTTATGTGTGCTTTGATCGTGCTCCTCTTTCTTCCCCTGTGTTTTTGTCTAATCCACCCACCTTTTTCCCTCACTCGAGGCGTCTCTCCCACCTTTCTCACTTTACAATCAGGATATGCTGCATCGACATGTGGGAAAGCTGTTGGAGGTGTCAGTTTTGCGCCTACTCTCTCTTCAATCCCTGTTCCTCTCTATTATTTGATGTTTTTTATCCAGGCCCAGGATATGCTGCATCAGCATTTGGACAGGCTGCTCGAGATGACTGTAGCTGCTGCAGAGAAAGGAAAAGGGGAAGGAGTGGGAGAGGAAGGGGGAGCAGAGGATGCAGACAAAAGTAACAGTGATGATGGTTGTGGCAGTGGCAGGGGTGGTGGTGAAACCAAGGGAGCGAGGAAGCGCAAGGAAAAAACGGGGAAGAAAGAGGGCAAAAGGAAAGATGGGACTGGGGAGGAGTCGCGTGGAGTTGGATCGAAGAGTCAAGAGGGAAAGGAGAGAAAGAAACGGAAAAAGGGGGAGGGGTTGAAGGAGGAGAAGAGAGTCAAGGCTCATGCGCCAGAGTTAAGTGGAATTGCGCTTTTTCGAAAAGGTCCTGTTGTTTCCGTAGAATGATGAGCCCCACCACTTGTGTGCTCAACCAATGCAATCAGTTATGATTTTTTATGCTCACTCAAAATCAGTTGCCGTGCTTCTTCTAAGGCGACTAATTTGGAATGCATAACGCGGTTTTCCTCTTGGTGTTTGAAATTTCGTTTTTGAATCGTGTGAGCGGCGCGGTGCTCTGGTCTGAGGATCTACACAGACAGAGCAACTTTTTGACAGTATACTGCGTTCCGACGGGCTAGGAACAGATGGTTTCTTGTGAAGTGCTCTCTGCAAGTGTCGTTCGTGATACCGTCGCGAGGTGTAACGTGCCGCTTTGCTTGCGCCCTCGGTTTCGAAAACAACGTTCTCTGTGCTTGAGCATCATTCCCAGCTTTATGTGTGTGCTTGGCTTGTGCGATTTCACTTGAGCCAGCACATGGTTTTCTCCATTCTCCGACATAGCCTTGGTTGTCTTCTCCGCAGGCATCCTCTTGCAATTCCGTCTGTCTCGTCTTGTCTCGTTCCCCAGTCCGTTCCTTTTCTACGTGCCGAATCATCCACGCGGGGTGTGCAGCTCATTATATATAATTTCAGGCTTTCCCGTGTCGTCATGGCGTCAGAAGAGCCGAAATCTGAGACCGTGGCTTCAGATCAGCAAAGCTCGAAAGATGTCACGGCGTCAGAAGAACCGAAAACAGATGGCAATCAAGCTCCAGAAGAACCGCCATTGAAGAAGGTGAATTTTGACCCCGAATTGTCTCTCCGTGTCAAGAAGCTGTCAGAGACGGCAGTTCTTCCAAAACGAGGGTCTGCGAGTGCTGCCGGTTACGATCTTTCAAGGTACGCGAATCAAATTTTAGCCGCGATTACGGGGTGCCAAGTAACCGACTTGACTACTGTTTAACTCATTGATTTCGGGCCAATTTCAATCTCGCACCGCCTGAATGTTATTCTCGTCGCATTCTTGTCATATTTCAGCGCACATGACATCACCGTGCCTGCAAGGGGTCAGGCCCTCGTCAAGACTGATCTCGCAATCGCCATTCCGCTGGGGACATACGCTCGAGTGGGTGAGTCCCAGTTTCGCTCTTATCCTCTCCGTTCCCTGCTAATCCTGAGACATTCTCCAGCCTGTATATCAAACACTGACCGCCTCGTCTTGTTATTTTAACACGAAAGTTCATCATTTTAGAGCAGAAACTTAGCAGAAATTTTTGAGGCATTTGCCCTGTAACATTCTCTTCTATCCTTGATCCTCTGATCCATTATCATCCCATTTCAGCTCCTCGCTCTGGACTAGCCCTGAAGCATTCCATCAACGTGGGAGGAGGCGTGGTTGACTACGATTACCGTGGAAACGTCGGAGTGATTCTTTTCAATCATTCTGACAAGGACTTCCCGGTGAAGGTTGGCGACAGAGTTGCACAGCTGATCCTGGAGCGAATAGTCACTCCTGATGTCGTGGAGGTGGAAGAGTTGGATGAGACCACACGGGGGGCTGGAGGGTTTGGATCCACAGGTGGCAGTGACGCTTTGAAGCAAACATAGAAGACTACCGGCCGAGCTGATAATTAATCTCAAGGATGAGGGGACATTGCTAATCTGTATTTGGTTTGGGCAATAGCTAGTGTGCTGCTGTGCTTGCCAGTATTAATTTTTGTGTTGATTCCAGCTGAACATGTTGAGTGGTGGGGGAGGGGAGCATCTCTCTGCACAGTTCATTCAGGCCACATGCGGTACTGTTATGCAATGACACAAATTGTACAGATGTTGCATGTGTTATCAAAGTACAGGTTATTGTCAGAGCAGGAACTAATCACTTCAAATATTAGATGAGCAGGAACTACCAGGAACAATGTCAGTCCACTTGCACAGGCTAGTAATAATATGCACTCAAGCTTACTCCTCCCCTGTTCTAGTTCCAAGCACCGAGATGTCCTCGTACCGCTTCTGCACAGGAACAGAAAGAGAATGAAAGTGAGGAGGTCTCATGGCTAAGAGTGAATAAGGGAGCATAGCGAGCATGGTGAGGAAACATAAAACCCAGATCAAAACATAAATGTATCTGCAGAATACGGACCAATGAATCTGTTGGATCAGAACTTACCCCCTTGTTGTACGAGTCCCAAAGCTGATCAAAGGTGTAGTTGACCGCCTGGAGAAGGGGCAGCGTGGAAGGTAGAGTGAAGAAGAGGCAAATGAAGTGCAAATAAATGAACACACACGTTCCCCTCGGCGTCATCAGAACAGAACTAGTTGACTTGTAACATATCTATATCGCCAGCACGACGTTACAATTGCATGTGGGTCCGCGATTCCCCAAGGCCAGCTATGCAAGGCTCCTAGACCACAGCACTTACAGGAAGCACGAGGAAGCATCTGAGATCAGATCCGACACCACGCGTAATGCTACACGCAAGGCTATCTATGCAGAAGTCGGAACAATTGTGGCCACGCAATAAAAGAATGTACCGTAGAGATGAACTGGATGCTTTGATATAATATCTGGTGAAGGAAGAAAGAATGAACCAGTCGAAGCAGGGTACACAGAACTTGTTTCGGTATGTTCTGAGGCATCAACGGACGGAATGAATGCCTTTCCAGTACACGTGCCTCCTGGACCATCGCTGCCAGCAAAACACTCTCCGCTTCATAAACGCTGGGACTCTCCGACGACGTACAGCTGAAGCCGAGACGACGATCAAACCTAACCGCACCAAGATCTATCCTTCGATCCATCGAGGGACCCACGGTATGCGGAGCGAAACCAAGCCAAACGGCGCTGCGGTTCGGTGCCTTACCCGCTCTCCGGCAAGCGCGCCGACGAAGATGAAGCCGATGTACACCGAGTTACGCTTCATCACCGTGCGGTACAGCACGTCCGCGAGCCCCATGATAGCTGACTACGGAGGTCCAACGGATAAAGAATCGAACGCGTGGGAGCGGTACGGCGGAGACGAAGCCCCCTGGCCGATGGATAGCTGAGCTGGATGCGCGGTTTGCGGCGTGGTGAGTTGGGACTACAGAAATAAGGTGGTTGGTTGGAAATTGGAATAATAGGATGCAGGGGTAAAGGGATGGCGAGAGGTGGAGAGTGGTGAAAAGATCCACTGGGGGAAAGTGCGGAGATTGGCGGAAATACGGGAAGCGGGGCGGAATGCGGGAGTGAGCAAGGGGAGGCGGGGAACCGAATGACCGGGGAATGGGGACACAGAAGGCGCGGAGATTTTCGGCCAGTAGCATCATCGGAAATATACGAACTGGAATTATCTGTTTCCGTAGCGTACACAATTCTGTCAAGGCCAATTGTCCAACAAAAAAAGGGCCGACTATTTACTAGACGAAACACATTACCGGTGGAACCAGAATTGAGTTTTATTTTACTTCCTTACCCTTCCCCCACTTTCTCAATTTTTGGAGAACCGTGCCTGCAATCAGCATTATTAGCCTCAGCATGCCCCTAGCTCTCTGCGCCTCCAAGAGCACTGGCACCCCCCAGCAGCCTGGCCTCCAGGACTTCTCTCCCTTACGTCTAACCAGGGTATCTCTCAATCCTGAGGCCACAGGCATTCCAGAATGATAACATATCAAGCCCCGTTTCCTACCTACCGTATCATGTCCCAGGGCTCACGCACCTGGAGAGCACAGGCTGCACCAGCCACGCATCTACCGTATCAGTGCTCCAAGCTCCTGCATCGCTTTGTGTGAAGGCATACCCTCTCCGTCATCTCAGGGCATTCCGGATGAGCATCTGCATCTGCAACCACACAAAGGCGTGCGACCATGTCTGCATCTTGTGTCTGCGACTCTCTCTATCTCTGCTCCTGTGCCTGTGTCTGTCTCAGAGAATTTATTGACCCTTCAAAGGCACCGGCTACACCAGCCAGGCTGCGAATCCCCTCCCCAGAAACCCCTAGCGTCTGATAGGATATACCTGCACACACCACTCTGCACCGCACTGCACACTGGCCACTTCAAATATCGCCCCTTTTTCACTCAATCCCTCTCCCCTCCTCCCCTCAAATGTTCCTCTCTTCCCGTTCCATTTCCCTTCCCCCTCCACCCTCCCTCTCCCTTCCCCCTTCTTTCCCCCCTCCTCCATGCCCCGCGAAAGAACCGGCTGCGCCAGCCACGCGGCGATCCTGTTCCCTCGCACGCCGCGGTTCCAGAACGGATATCCCTGCATGCACCACTCTCTGCACCGCACTGCACAGGACTGGTCCATCAATGCTCCTTCTCCGGTCTTCGCTCATCCCCTCCCCCGTCCTCCCTTCCCCTCTCCTCCGCGCCCCGGCTGCGCGAGCCACGCGGCGATTCTGTTCCCCCGCACGCCGCGGTGGCGGCCGTAGCACTCCCAGAAGGCAGCGTGCTTTGCGCGGCACTCCTCCGACTGCCCCCAGATGAGCGCAAGAGACGACTGGTTCCGCATGCACGCGAGCAGTGCCAAATGCTCGTCCGCGCACGCCGCCATCGCCGATTCCTTCTTCGTCGGATCGTAAATCAGCGGCTCGTTTTCCTTCTCGCGGCCTCGGTTGCCATTGGTATGGGAAGATCCGTCTCCGTGGTGCTTTTGAGTCGATTCAGTATCTCCTGCACGGTGATCGAGGGCTTCCTGGTTGTTTCGTGAGCGATCGGAGCCAACAGGCTGAGCTGGAGGGTTTTCGTGAAGGTTCGGGGTGTTGTTAGCGGGCTGCTGTTGCGATGCCATTGGTCGGCAGGCTCCCGTCGCGCTACTGGTCGGAATTAAGGTGCACAGAAGCTCAAGAGAGGCGCTCCTGCGCAATGGTGCACGATTCTGCTACGATGCGATGTCGCTGGATCCGGACGGCGGACATCAGCGCATGTATGTTCATAGCGTTTCTCGACTAAATGGGTGGCGGCGGGTGGGAGGTAGGTAGTACTCCTGTCTAGGGCTGCAGGAGGAAATTCGCGGTACAAAGTGCTCGTGTGAATGGAACATGGGCCCGCCAAAACCAAGTGAACTATAAAAAACATTACCATGATAACATGGAGATTGCTGTGAACAGGATCAATGGAGAATCCTTGTGTTTGAGCACGCACACAGTGCACACCCCATAATTCAACGCAATATTTTTCAGGAGTGCACGAATAGTAATACAAATTATGCCATATTTGTCGTCCATGATGTCGTCAACAGAGCGGCACATCTTTCTCTCGTCTCAAGCCTCCTCCGTTTCCTCAACAAGACTCAGCATCGGGCCATCAGGAGCCCTTAGAGCCGCCACCTGCACACAAACAGAACAAGCAGAACAAAGAAATGTGTTGTCTTTTTTTTTGCAATGTGAAAATGGGCCATGCTGTAAGGAGACCAAGCTAGCACATTTACTCAACGACTTCAAAGGAACCACGGTATGAGATTTCTACTTTGAGATTGCATTGGATGTAGGTTATATCTAGTGTAGGACTCACACGGCCTTGTGGCATGTGCACCACAGCACCGTCCATCACCGCTCCCAACCGCAGCATGCGCAGGAGAGTGGAATCAAACTCTCCCTCTCCACGCACAGAGAAGGACAGAAGGGGAGAGAAGCCATGAGATGTGTGCGCTGTGCTGAGAGGGAAGGGGAAAGAGTGAGACGGGAGGAAAAGGAGGAGACGGCAGGATGGTTAGTGAACGGCCTCCCCATGATTTCTCTCACGACCCACCCCATTCCCTTTCCCCCCAAACCGCCACCTCCAGTCACATTGCTGCAGGGACTTCTTCCCTTCCCTCACGCTCTTCCCCCTCGTCCCATCACTTCCCCGCAGATTCTCCCATCCTCTCTATTCTCCTCCCCCGATCCCCCTCTTCTTCTCTCCCGCCCTTCCCGCACAACACTCCGCCTCCTGTCGCATCGCTGCAGCGCGATCCGCGTGGGCATTACTCCCCCTTTCCCCTCTTTCTCTCACAATCCCACTTCCCTACTCCCCCCATCCCCCCACCTAATTCCCCCGCCCTCCCCCCCAACCCTCCGCCACCTGTCGCATTGCTGCAGCGCGATCCGCGTGGGTCCCGCCTGCACCTCCGCCCATCGTTCCGTGCACACCAACACGGGCAGTCCCAACCCCTCCTTGAAAAAATTCGCAGCCCGCGGCACGTCCCGCTGCAGTAGCAGCACATGGCGCAGCGCCGCTGCTGCTGCTGACCCTGCTCGTCCTGATTGCGCCATTTTGCCAGGATAGGATTACTGGCGAATAATCCGAATTAGGGTTACCTGACCATTTCGCCAGCTCCTCTAGATAGGGTTGCTACGAGCTCGCTTATGGCTGCTACTCTCACTACGGTCTCCAAATGCTGTCAAGGTTGGGTTCGACTAAAGCTGGGCATTTATTCTGCGTGCGGCTTTATTTGACCAGCGGCTTTAGCGACACATGGAAATTTGTCATGTCTGTCGGAGTAGTTTGAAAGGTGTGTGATTTACTATTAGTCAGATTTATGTTCGTTTATTAGTTACGGTGGGGTTGCACTTTTGACAGCTTGTATCGCAGATGAGACCAGCCAAGTTTGGCGAACCAGCAAACGCGCCTCGTAATTAGGTTCGGACTTCGTGATACGCACATGTTTCGATCAATGATTGGTTGAATGGAAACCGAACAAGAAATATGGAAAACAGGTTCGGTAGTTTTAGGTTAGGTAGAAACTGGTGAAGTTCAGGATTCAGGAAATCTATCCATAGGACTTGCTTAGTTCCTAACCGTGTGATCTGGCACGGCAACTTATTTCCTTTTTGTTGCACGCACGCACGTTGTACTTTCAAGGCAGCGATTTTGGACATTTCGGCAGAGCTCGACTTTCCAGTGCCGATGGCGGAGGAGTTGGCGCCATTGGACGAGACGCTATCCCCCACAGACGACGGATTTCATTCGCACGCGTTAGGCGGCTCGGTATTCAGCGGCTCGGATGCGGAAGCGCCAGAGTTGGGATCGTTGAATGTGTCGCGCGGACGAGCCGCGGAGCGATCGTCGCGGGGAGGCGGCGCGGGAGGGGTGAAGCGGTTTGGACGGGGCGGGATGGTGATGGCTGTGGTCATGCGCTTACTGGCCATAAACAAGCGGATATTAATCCCCGTGGCGCTCGCGTCGCTAGCTTCGATGCTGATGGGATATGGTATGCCAGCTAGGATCGTTAGGTTGTAGACGTGGCATTAGCACTGTGGTCGATGCGAATGCACATCCACGGCATTGAATGCAATCGGGATCATTTTGATAGATTTGATCTCCTTGAATTAATCCCACTTGTATCTAGAGCCGCGCAAATGTATCGTGTAACCCTGTCTGTCCTCCCAAATTCCTTCGCTTGTCAATCGACTCATTTTTTTTCTCTCTCTCTCAAACTCTTCTCTTCTCCTACCCCCCATTCCCCTTTGTCCCTACCCACCAACCCACTTCGTGGGCTGATAATAAGCGTCACCAGCGGTGCCGTGCTGATCGTTATGACCGTTGAGTCGAGTCCATTATTTTCCTCTTCCCCCCTCATGCTCCCCTTCTGTCTCTATCCGTGGTAAACAGACATAGGCGTGACCAGTGGTGCCGTGCTGATAGTGCAGCGAACCTACCACCTCAGCATTGCGGATAAGGTGAGTGTGCCGCCACCTGTCAGTCACTGCCACGTCACCTGTACCAGCCACGTCAGCAGGGCAGATAAGGTGATCCACGTGGACAGTGCCACCACTACAGGTGCCTGTCTGCCACCATAGCACTGAACCTCCGGAACCCCGTCCGAGGTACCCTTAAATTAGCAAATCTCCAAGTTCCAGGCAAATCAGCACCCCATATTCAAGCAGAGCCTCCTCCTCCTCCTCCTCCTCCTCTGTTTTCATAAATCTCAAAACTGCCCCTCACGCTCTGCTTCATGTTGTCTTCGACCTCTCTCTTTCTGCTGTATCTGTTCTCTCATCAACGCCCCCCACCCCTCTACCCTCTTCGGCCTCTCTCCCCTCCCAGGAGCTTTTCATCGGTTCCTTAAGCTTCGCAGCAGCCCTCTCAGCCCTCCTCTCCGGCCCTCTCGCCGACTCCTACGGCCGCCGCCCCCTCCTCCTCCTCTCCTCCCTCCTCTCCTCCCTAGGCTTCCTCTCTATGGCCCTCTCTCACACCTTCCCCACCCTCCTCCTCACCCGCATTCTCACCGGTTTCGGTGTTGGAATCGGGTTGACTGTCGGCCCTCTCTATTGTGTTGAGCTGGCCCCAGCTGATTCCCGCGGCTCTCTTTCTGCTCTCAGCGAGCTGATCTCTTCCCTCGGGCTACTCTTCGGGTATTTAATCTCCTTTCTCCTCTCGCCGTCACCTAAGTACGATCCGACTTTAGCCGTCGCTGCTGCCGCCGCCGCTGCTGCTACCGATCCTACCGCTGCCACGGCTGCCACCGCAGCTGCAGCAGCGGCGGCCGCAGCAGCGGAAAGCGCGTTTTCGCCTCACAACTGGCGGCTAATGCTGCTGTTTGGGGTTGTGCCGGCAGCAGGGTTGGGTCTCGGGGTGTTGTGGCTGGGAGTGCCTGAGTCCCCCCGGTGGCTGGTGCTGGTGGGGAGGGTGAGAGAGGCTGCTGAGGTGTTGCTGGTGCTGGAGGAAGGGAGGGAGGTTGAGACGGCTGCGCTGCTTGAGGATATGACTGCTGCTGCTGCTGCTGCCGCCGCTGCTGCTGCTGCTGCTGCTGGTGCTGCTGGTGCTGGTGCTGGTGGTGGGGGTGATGATGCAGAAGCAGCAGCGTTGCTTGGAGGACACGTGGAGGCAGGAGCAGCAGCAGGAGGAGGAGGAGGGGGGGGAGGAGTGGGAGGAGCAGGTGGGGCTGGGGCTGGAGGGATGGCAGGCCTTCACTCCCTCACACCCACCGCCCCTGCAGGCGCACAGTTCTGGAAAGGACCACCCGGGGGAGGCTTATCTGGGGGCGGTTTATCTGGGGGTGGTGGAGGGGTGGGTTTGCGGAAGGGGGGAATGTTGGGCGGAGGGAAGGGGAGGGGGGTGGGCGTGGGGGTGTGGAAGGAGCTGCTTCGGCCAAATGAGGCAGTGAAGCAGATGCTCATGCTGGCTGTGGGGGCTGCTTTCTACCAGCAGGTAATGTTCTTGACTGTAATTTTTTAGTCAAATAAATTTCACCTTCAGGAAGGGAAGGGGAAGGGGGTGGGCGTGGGGGTGTGGAAGGAGTTGGTGCGGCCAAATGAGGCAGTAAAGCAGATGCTGATGCTCGCTGTTGGGGCTGCGTTCTACCAGCAGGTAATGTTTCTGACGTTAAATCTTGAGTCAAATAAAAATTCACCTTCAGGGAGAGGAGGGGAAGGGGGTGGGCGTGGGGGTGTGGAAGGAGGTTGGTGCGGCCGAATGAGGCAGTGAAGCAGATGCTCATGCTGGCTGTGGGGGCTGCATTCTACCAGCAGGTAAGATGCTCTCTCCACGCCCGCACCCACCCTCTCCCCCCCCCTCCGCTTCCTCATCTGCTGCTGCGGCCGAATGAGGCAGTGAAGCAGATGCTCATGCTGGCTGTGGGGGCTGCATTCTACCAGCAGGTAAGATGCTCTCTCCACGCCCGCACCCACCCTCTCCCCCCCCCTCCGCTTCCTCATCTGCTGCTGCGGCCGAATGAGGCAGTGAAGCAGATGCTCATGCTGGCTGTTGGTGCTGCCTGTTAGTCTCAAAAATTCACTTTATACACCAGCAGGTAATGCACATCTTTCCCCACCATATCAACCACCAGGCCACAGTCGTCCCTGCAATGCTCTACTCTATATACCTCCAAGCTCGCCACCACAATGGGCTTACCTCCTCTGCCGCCATCTAGGTGACTTATGAGTCGACTCAAAAGTCGGGCGTCCCTGCAATGCTCTACTCTACATACCTCCGAGCTCGTCGCCACAATGGGCTTACCTCTTCTTCTCTCTCCCTCTACTTATCTCTCCTCTTCCCAGTTTTTGGTCGACTCAAAACTAGTCTCTCTCGCCCTCTACTTATCACTCCTCTTCCCTCTCTTACGCCTCTTCCCTCTCTTACGCCTCTTCCCTCTCTTACGCCTCTTCCCTCTCTTACGCCTCTTCCCTCTCTTACGCCTCTTCCCTCTCTTACGCCTCTTCCCTCTCTTACGCCTCTTCCCTCTCTTACGCCTCTTCCCTCTCTTACGCCTCTTCCCTCTCTTACGCCTCTTCCCTCTCTTACGCCTCTTCCCTCTCTTACGCCTCTTCCCTCTCTTACGCCTCTTCCCTCTCTTACGCCTCTTCCCTCTCTTACGCCTCTTCCCTCTCTTACGCCTCTTCCCTCTCTTACGCCTCTTCCCTCTCTTACGCCTCTTCTTTCCCACCACAACCACCAGGCCACAGGCGTCCCAACAATGCTCTACTATACCCCCGAGCTCTTGGCATTGCATCCATGGGCCTCACCTCCTCTGCAGCCATCCTCTCTGCGAGCCTTGCTCTCCCAAGAAAACATCCTTCTCTTTCCCCTTTCCATACACCCACCACCAGGCCACAGGCGTCCCAACAATGCTCTACTATGCTCCCGAGCTATGTTTTGAGACGTCTCAAACCACAGGCGTCCCAACAATGCTCTACTATACTCCCGAGCTATTCGCCATCATGGGATTAACTTCCTCTGCTGCCATCCTCTCTGCCTCTCATCCCCACACTTACATTCACCAGGCCACAGGCGTCCCCACGATGCTCTACTACACCCCCGAGCTATTCGCCACCATGGGTCTCACCTCCTCTGCCGCCATCCCCTCTGCCAGCCTTGCGGTGGCCCTCGCCCGCACGCTCGCCTCACTCGTCCCCGTCTCTCTTTTGGACGAGATTGGCCGGAGAACGCTGCTTCTTATCAGCACTGCAGGTGAGCAACTGTGGTCAGGTGCGAGTCAGGTTCACAGCACGGCTCTCTCTTCCCGCTTCTCTGCTCTCTGCTGCCATCCTCTCTGCTGCCATCCTCTCTGCTGCCATCCTCTCTGCTGCCATCCTCTCTGCTGCCATCCCCTCTGCCAGCCTTGCAGTGGCCATCGCCCGCACGCTCACCTCACTCGTCCCCGTCTCTCGTTTGGACGAGATTGGGAGAAGGACACTACTGCTCATCAGCACGGCAGGTGAGTTTCAGCTGTCGCTTCTTTGCTTTAGCAGCCTTGCGGTGGCCATCGCCCGCATGCTCACCTCACTCGTCCCCGTCTCTCTTTTGGATGAGATTGGCCGGAGGACGCTGCTTCTCATCAGCACAGCAGGTAAAGTGATTACCATGATCTTCTGAGGCGCCTCAAAGTGGGCGCCTCAACGCTGCTTCTCATCAGCACAGCAGGTAAAGTGATTACCATGATCTTCTGAGGTGCCTCAAAGTGGGCGTCTCAACGCTGCTTCTCATCAGCACAGCAGGTAAAGTGATTACCATGATCTTCTGAGGCGCCTCAAAGTGGGCGCCTCAACGCTGCTTCTCATCAGCACACAACAGCTCCCTCTTCTCGCATTTCTGCTCTCTGCCAGCCTTGCCGTGGCTCTAGCAGCCTAGCTCGCCCTCTCGTCTCCTCGTGCGCCTCTCTCTTCTGGCTGAGATTGGCCGACAAACGCTGCTGCTCATAAGCGCAGCAGGTGAGGCGCTGTGATCAGGTGGGTGTCAGTTTCACATCACTCGTGTCTCTCCCCTCTTATGTGACCATAGGGTTTCTAGATGAGATTGGCTGGCGAACCCCTTTCGAGAATTCTCAAAAGCGTTTTTGAAATTTCTCAAAAACGTTTCACATCACTCGTATCTCTCCCCTCTTATGTGACCATAGGGTTTTGAGATGAGATAGGCTGGCGAACCCTGTTGCTTATGAGGGCAGCAGGAGAGCCGTGAATGGAACAAGGCATGGACCTCCACACAAGGATTCTCGAAGGCTAGTTCAGCAGAACCACTTGGTGTGTTAACTTAGCCGGTAACCTTTCTTCCTCACTCCTCTCTCTCCTCCCTTTCCGCTTCTCCATTTTCCTCTCAGGCATGACCGTTGCCCTGCTAGCTCAAGCCATAGTCCTCCACACAATGAACCTCGGAGGGGAATTCGACATAACCTCCGAAGACCCCTCGTCCTCCTCCCCTCTCACCACCACCGCCACCTCTACCGCCTCTTTCCCTTCCCTCGTCGACCGCCCCTTCCAATCCAATGCTGCGGCTCTCTCCGTAATCGCAGCAGCAAACCTAACCGTGTTCTTCGCAATAGGCCTCTCCCCCATCTCCACTCTCCTCCCTCCGGAAATCTTTCCCCTCCAGTTACGGGCGCAAGGGACAGGCCTTGCTGTGGCAGTCAGCAGGCTGGTCGCAGCGGCTCTTTCCTCGTCTTTTCTGAGCCTTGTGGACGCGACGAGCCCCGGGTTTCCGTTCTTTGTGTTTGCGGTGCTGTCGGCGGCTGCGGTTCCGTTTCTGCATTCGTGCATGAGGGAGACGAGAGGGGTGAAGCTTGAAGGAACTTCGGGGTTATTTGAGCCAAGTTTTGCGGGCGGAGTGGGGAGAGGAGGGGGAGGGGGGATGTGGGGAGGAGGAGGGATGGGAGGGGCGGCTGGGGCGGCAGAGGAGGGTGCTGTGATGGATGGGCATGGGAGGGCGATTGGGAGGAGGGCCAGGAATGTGGGAGGGGGAGATAGGGCTTCGACCAGTTGATGCAGTACCTTCCATAGTAGATGCAGATTTTCCAAACGGCAGACACAATGTAAATGAAATTGAAGCCTTCTGTGGCTCCGTGTTCCTTGTTTGTTCCCTCAGAGTCACCCGCCATATTGCAATCGGTGTGGTTGTTGCTTCAATGTGGTTTTAACAGGCTTGCCACAAGTAGGATGCGAGGGGTGTCTGATAGGGTGTCATCTAAATATGCTGGTGGCATTCGCATTATGTTAACTATCCGAGTACAGTGCTACAAAGAGAGTTCATTATGTTATTATGTTTTGTAGGGACAGTTGCAAAACATAACACATGCGACTACATTATTATATCTCAACTACGGTATCTTCTTTCTTCTTGATTGGTTCCTAGTCCACAAATCTTCTTGCATTCAATGTGGCTCAAATTTATGAACGAACAGCACTCACTGACACGTTGGATTGCGCGGCTCGATGTCAAATCTGCCGCGCTCCGATGTCAGTCCTCCATAGAACTGTTCAAATTTCGTTCATCATTGGCGCTCCGACACTACGAACAAATCGATTGACTTTGCACTTCCCTTCGGTTTCTCCTCACCTCACATTTTCAGGGGCAGATAGGTAAGTTAGACAAATTCACGCAAACGCCTGTCCTTTCTTTGTGATTGGATGTTTTGTTGTACACCTGATGCCCAGCCCCTGCACGCAAATTTTCCTTTACCAGGTGGAAACCTTGCGCCCGTGGTTTTTTTACCAGCCAGTTGCACCCATGTTATAAGCACGTCAAGCAAGCTGCAGTGATATTAACCAATACGAACCACAGAAACTGAAGTTTGACCGAAGTGACTGCAGTCAAACTGTTACAAATTTTCTTATGAGCCCTTATAAGCACCTGACGAATCAATTTTTGCTAGCTGCGAACTGGCGAAATTCTTGAAATCGCTTACAATCCCCCTTCACAAGGCAACCTTGGGTTAGTCAAACGAGCATCATGTGTAATCCAATCGTTTCGTGCTCGCCCTTAGCTTCTTTGAAAGGTCGGAGCGTCAGATCGCACGACGTGTGCGTCAGCTGGATCATCCATCCACATCTCGCACGCGTCGCATTTGGTGATAAATTTGGAAGCGCCTCGTGCGTAAATTCACACTTGGCTGGTATTGTACAGCATTCGGGGGACTGCCCAGTGCCCCCCTGCCAGAAAAAGCACGTTCAATGCATGCAACGGAATGAAAACGCAAGCTCCCTCCCTCCCTCCTCTTCTGTCCTTCACCTTCCTCTCATGATCCCAACTTCCACACACACATCACCGCACAACCACCCACGCCTGGGCTCTCAAATCAACACACCACACCATCAACGTTGAGAAACAGAGAAACTCCAATCCATTGTCAAGTCCGAAAACACCGTCGTCCCGTCGACCGACACCATGCCTAGCCCTCCGATTTCCGAGCTCCACTACTATGCCATCAATGCAAGCTGGCTGGCAGAGCATCAAGTCAAGTTACTCTGGCGTCCACTGCCCACCCCGATACAAAAGCGCACACTGGCAGTTGTAGCAGCTCGGCTCGGCCGTCCCTCGTACAGTAAACGTCCTCTGCGTGATTTTCACTTTACAGTACTCGAGCAGAGCCCTCGGTCTACGCACGTTACAGTAGCGTCCGTCCTTGAATCGGCGTGACGAACCAGTGGGAGGCGCCGTCTTTCCGAAGATGCCGCTCTGCCGCCCCCGTCCTTGCTATACGTGTACTACAGTACGACGAATCGCTGAGAGGCTCAGGTTCTCGCTCAATCGTGCCACGACCAATGTACAGTGCATCGTGAGTCGACGTCGCCGGGTGTTTCGAAACGTTCGACTCAGATTACACCCGACCCGGAGTCCTCGCTCCCGACCTCCACGCCGCTTGATGCTCCAATAGAAGCGGAGGTCTTTGCTCCACCCCTCATTGTCTCGTTCCGCGATTATTGGCACCTATCCGTGACGAGCCCACCTGCGTCTCCTCGCGTCGACGTTTCGAAAGTCGTTACTAAGACGACGTCTTCGCGCGAGTAGCCGACGCCTCACTGCGGCTGCTGCTAAATAGTGAGCTCTTTCTGATCACTGATCACTTCCTAAAAAATACATTCGCAGGCATCTTCTCGTCATCGTTTCGAACCGCTCCTAGTAGCCTCTCTAATTGCCGCTTTGATTCTCCTCGCGAATCAAAAGGAGTCCGTTGACTCCGTTGGCACACCCTTGATCATACCGTCTCGACGTCCGCGGTCGGCGCTCATGGACGGAAACCGTTCCGTCATCGTCGTCCTGCCCGACGGCTCCCTCCGTCTATTCCTCCCCGATGGTACTCCGTCCGGCTGCGATTCGGGCCCCAATTCCGCCATTCCCGCCGGAATTTCCGCGCGCAGGGTCCTTGCAGACTTCCCCCGTCATGTTCTCGTCACCAATCCACCGCAATTCGCGGCGTCAGACCCGGCGAGGCCCTCTCCACCGCTGCCCGCCGTATCCGCAGATTCAATCCTCGTTCCAGCTAAGACTTACTACCTTACAGCCGCCGGCGGCTGCGCGGGTGGTGAATTTTCCAGCGAGGCGCCTCATGAATCATACCTTTCAACCGAGGCGCTTCGAACCCACGATCGCGACAACGTGTTACTTTCGTCCATTGATCGCTGTCGCGTCGCGGACGGTTCCGATACTTCGCCTGATCCTCCGCTGGACGGTTCTGATGATGCCAGCTGGACGCTCCGTGCCGCCGCGCTGAGCTGGCAGGTCAGCGGCGACGACACGCCGATCTCCGCCAAGTCAGCTCAAGTCAACGACTTCAAACCGCGGCTGCGCGGCGGCTCGGCATTCGTGCCATCATCCACCGAACCGTCACGTCGCGAAAGAAGCTGCGAAATTGGACCTTTCGCCGGGGGCGACGGTGGTAACTCACGAACGGCTGAACTCGTCGCGGCTTGGCTCGACGCTGACGTGGAATCGGACACGCCACGCGCGGCTGCCGTCGGATTCGAGAGGATTTTTAGGCCCGAGCCTTCTCAGAAGAGGGATCACATTACAGGCTTCGGAACTTCTGTGGACCGAGCTTCTGAATGGACTCGAATGTTGGAAATGCCGCGTCGAGACATGCTCCATCGCAGCCATAGTAGCACCATGCTTGGACATACAGCTGTTGGTACTGCTGCTGCTGCTGCTGGTGGTGCTGGCGCCGATTGTGCTGCAGAGTGGAGCTTGTTTGGGACGGCCCAGCAATCGATTCGGGTGTCGGATTCAATGCCGCCCCCAGCCATGCTCCATCGCAGCCGTAGTAGTATCTCACTCGGTGTTACTGCTGCTGGTGTTACTGCTGCTGGTGCTGCTGCTGGTGTTACTCCTGCTGGTGCTCGTGCTGGTGCGGCTGTTGCTGCTACAGATTGGAGCAGTATCATGCATGCGCCTCATGCTGTGAATCGGATTCAGCGCCGCCATACATACGAAGCTGCTGCTGCTGCTGCTGCTGCTGCTGCTGCTGCTGCTGCTGCTGGTGCTGGTGCTGGTGCTGCTGGTGCTGGTGCTGGTGCTGCTGGTGCTGCTACAGATAGGAGCAGTATCATGTATGCGCCTCATGCAGTGAATCGGATTCAGCGCCGCCATACATACGAAGCTGCTGCTGCTGCTGCTGGCGCTGCTACTGACAAAAGTAACCCCGTTGGAACCATCAGCACTGCTGTTGCTGGCGCTGCTGCAGGCAGGAGTTACCTCGACAGTAATCCTGTCGATTTAAGTACTCTGAACTCGTATGGCTTGAGGAGTCAGAGCCAGCGCTACAGCCAATGGAGTGGCTGTAGCAGCAGTGGCGATGCTAGCGGGAGGAATCAAGGGCGAGACGTCACCAGCTACAGCCCCTGGGGCGGCTGTAGCATTGGCAACGGCGGCAGTACCAACAGAACGAACCTCAGGCGGGACGGCAGCTGCAGCTACAGCCCTTGGGACGACTGTAGCAGCAGCAGCAGTAGTATTGAAAGCCATGGGTGGATCGGCAGCAGCAGCTACAGCAGCATTGCAACAGTGCAGGACTGGGTGAACGAGACTAACGGCTGTAGCAACGGCCGCTACAGCCTTCGGGTGGACGAGGATGCTGTCTGGCTTCAGCAGGCCTGCTCCCCCCCGCTGCTACAGATGTGCTCGGATGTAGCGAGTTCTGCTACAGCTGTAGAGGACTCCACGTGGGAAGAAGACAGCGCCTTGAGTGTCGAGGTGAGGATTCAATACAGTCGAAGGTGAGGATTCATTATGTCTTCTCATTGTCCCTATGCACGTCTACATGTGTCCCTTTTGTTATGCTTTCTAAACTTACATGCATACCACCACTTAAATACATACCACCAATTATGTCTGCTGATTTTTGCACCACTACACATTGATCCGCATCCAATTTTTTCAGCATCCCTCACTCTACCTTCCCTGTCCGTTTTCGCAATAATTACTATGTATTCGTCGCATCAGTGGGTGCCTCGCCTTGTGATTAAAACTCATACAAACCGAAATACACTCCTTTGTATCTCTCTTCACCTTGCAGATGGCAGTTCTCTGCTACTCATCCAACCCTCGCAGAGCATCACTAGACACCCAGGCATCTACGATGCCTACAGTACGCACCCTATCTACAGTGTCTGCTTTTGAGTCGACTCAAAAGTCCAACCCTCGCAGAGCATCACTAGACACCCAAGCATCTACGATGCCTACAGTACGACACCCAAGCATCTTCGACACCCTATCTACAGTGTCTGCATTATCTTCAGAATTGGAAGAATCTACACCATCGTACACTGTACAAGCAGCCTCTTCTACTGCACAACCACAGCAGTCCCAACCTCGGTTCATCAAGGTTGGGACTTCTCTTCCACCTTCCCTCTATGGGTCCTGTACCATTGCTACTGGGACTGGTGAGTTTGCCAAAAGTGGAGAATTTGCCAAAAGTGGCAAAGATGACCCTCAAGTCCCTTCTGCCAGCAGCCACACATCTGCCGCTGGTGCCAGCGAAGGTGTCTCTACAGCCAGTGCTGCTGCTTCTGCTTTCTCTGCTGCTGCTGCTGCTTCGGGGAATGTTTCTGGCAAGGTTTCCGCACAGAAGCATGGCGCTAGGGTCAGAAAGAGCGTGTCTGGTGGGGTGGCCCAGCTCAACCAGTGGTTCCTGGGTGGACGCAACCTCGCCTGTGCTTCTGGGACTGCTGTTGGCACTAGTGCTGCTGGCACTACTGCTGCTGGCACTGCTGCTGCTGGTGTTGGAACCTTATGAAAATTCTTAAAAAGTCAGTGGGGTGGCCCAGCTCAACCTCGCCTGTGCTGCTGGGACTGCTGCTGCTGCTGCTGCTGCTGCCGAAACATGCTGAGTGCTGCTGCTAGGAAGATGTTTCAGTAGCAGCTGAGAAGGGAGCAACGCTGAAGCATGGAATGAGCGTGAGGAGCGTTTCAGGAGGGGTTGGTCAACTAAACCGGTGGTTTCTGGGTGGATACCCCCTAGCCTGTGCTGCTGGCGCTGCTGCTGAAACCTGCTGAGTGCTGCTGCTTAGAAGATGTTACAGTATAGTACACTTGCAATGTTTTTGTCATGCCCATAAATGTATGATTACACATTTGATTGTTTCTGCAACAGCACAACTCACCACAGTCCGAAGTGTGACGCTCGTAAGGGCACAGGCTCCAAGACCAGGCTAGTACCGTATGTCCAAGTTCGTTCAATAACTGAAGGCGCCTATTGGTAATATTGCCTTGGAAGTCGGACACCACTAAACTCACATTCTCAGCATTTATGCACCCTTGTTAACAACTCATACCGTAACAGCTCGCATCAGTCCTTGACTTACATATCTCACCTGCAGAGAAGCAGTAAGCTTTTAGCTTATAAAACCACTGTCTATTGTACGAAGCCACCCGAGTCGGAGCGAGAAAATGAAAAAAGACCAAGTTTTGATTCGTAAAATAGAATAAAAGAACATAAGAAAAGCTGCAACCTGTAGGACAGTGAGCTGTTAACGAGTCAAGACTGCTGCATAGGGGCAAAGATGCTCTTCAGGAGATCCTTCTTGTTGACCTACCAGGGAAGACACGAGAGAGATGGATATGCGACGTGAGAAGGTGGAAATCGGTGATGCCATGACATGCTATCAGCCATCATAAGGAATGGCATGTGGCCATGTGCATGGCTTTGCGTGTGCTGTTTTGCATGTGATACCATGGCATGTCATAGCATTGCATTTTGCATCGAGGCTGCTACTGCCGTCCCACTTTTCCTGTGGTGGTGGTGGTGGTGCATGGCATGGCATGATGGATGGGCCATGATGCGTTCAATGGCATGGCAGTGCATATCACATGCCATGTTGCATTCAATGGCATGGCAGTGCATATCACATGCCATGTTGCATTCAATGGCATGGCAGTGCATATCACATGCCATGTTGCATTCAATGGCATGGCAGTGCATATCACATGCCATGTTGCATTCAATGGCATGGCAGTGCATATCACATGCCATGTTGCATTCAATGGCATGGCAGTGCATATCACATGCCATGTTGCATTCAATGGCATGGCAGTGCATATCACATGCCATGTTGCATTCAATGGCATGGCAGTGCATATCACATGCCATGTTGCATTCAATGGCATGGCAGTGCATATCACATGCCATGTTGCATTCAATGGCATGGCAGTGCATATCACATGCCATGTTGCATTCAATGGCATGGCAGTGCATATCACATGCCATGTTGCATTCAATGGCATGGCAGTGCATATCACATGCCATGTTGCATTCAATGGCATGGCAGTGCATATCACATGCCATGTTGCATTCAATGGCATGGCAGTGCATATCACATGCCATGTTGCATTCAATGGCATGGCAGTGCATATCACATGCCATGTTGCATTCAATGGCATGGCAGTGCATATCACATGCCATGTTGCATTCAATGGCATGGCAGTGCATATCACATGCCATGTTGCATTCAATGGCATGGCAGTGCATATCACATGCCATGTTGCATTCAATGGCATGGCAGTGCATATCACATGCCATGTTGCATTCAATGGCATGGCAGTGCATATCACATGCCATGTTGCATTCAATGGCATGGCAGTGCATATCACATGCCATGTTGCATTCAATGGCATGGCAGTGCATATCACATGCCATGTTCCTACTGCTGTCGCATCTCACCTTGCCCATGGCGTTGCGTGGCATGGTAGCAACCACTCTCAAGCGCGATGGCACCTGCTTGCAAGGGGGAAGGGCGAGGGGAGGTGGCACATGGTCATGATGAAGGGGAGACAAGAGGATGCATGGCATGGCGTGCCATGGCTTAGCATGGCGTTGCGTGGCGTGGTAGCAACCACTCTCAAGCGCCATGGCACCTGCTTGCAAGGGGGATGGGCGAGGGGAGGTGGCACATGGTCATGATGAAGGGGAGACAAGAGGATGCATGGCATGGCGTGCCATGGCTAAGCATGGCGTTGCGTGGCATGGTAGCAACCACTCTCAAGCGCCATGGCACCTGCTTGCAAGGGGGACGGGCGAGGGGAGGTGGAATATGGTCAGTATTGCAGGAGAGAAAGAAAGATGGTTGCATCGCATGGCACGGCATGGCATGGCATGGCATGGCATGGCATGGCATGGCTTGGCATGGCTTGGCATGGCACGGCATGGCATGGCATGGCATGGCATGGCATGGCATGGCATGGCATGGCATGGCATGGCATCGAATGGAATGGCATGGCATGGCATGGCATGGCATGGCATCGAATGGCATGGCATGGCACGGCATGGCATGGCATGGCATGGCATGGCATCGAATGGCATGGCATGGCATGGCATGGCATGGCATGGCACGGCATGGCATGGCATGGCATGGCATGGCACGGCATGGCATGGCATGGCATGGCATGGCATGGCACGGCTGCAACACACACCACAGCGCACCTTGTAATGGGCCATGCGGGGGGCTGCCCATTTCCTCAGCTCGTCCAGAGTGATCACAGGATGCTCTCCAGGTGCTACCTCGCTGGTGTCAGAAACACCTCCCCTCTCTTACGCCTCTTCCCTCTCTTACGCCTCTTCCCTCTCTTACGCCTCTTCCCTCTCTTACGCCTCTTCCCTCTCTTACGCCTCTTCCCTCTCTTACGCCTCTTCCCTCTCTTACGCCTCTTCCCTCTCTTACGCCTCTTCCCTCTCTTACGCCTCTTCCCTCTCTTACGCCTCTTCCCTCTCTTACGCCTCTTCCCTCTCTTACGCCTCTTCCCTCTCTTACGCCTCTTCCCTCTCTTACGCCTCTTCCCTCTCTTACGCCTCTTCCCTCTCTTACGCCTCTTCCCTCTCTTACGCCTCTTCCCTCTCTTACGCCTCTTCCCTCTCTTACGCCTCTTCCCTCTCTTACGCCTCTTCTTTCCCACCACAACCACCAGGCCACAGGCGTCCCAACAATGCTCTACTATACCCCCGAGCTCTTGGCATTGCATCCATGGGCCTCACCTCCTCTGCTGCCATCCTCTCTGCGAGCCTTGCTCTCCCAAGAAAACATCCTTCTCTTTCCCCTTTCCATACACCCACCACCAGGCCACAGGCGTCCCAACAATGCTCTACTATGCTCCCGAGCTATGTTTTGAGACGTCTCAAACCACAGGCGTCCCAACAATGCTCTACTATACTCCCGAGCTATTCGCCATCATGGGATTAACTTCCTCTGCTGCCATCCTCTCTGCCTCTCATCCCCACACTTACATTCACCAGGCCACAGGCGTCCCCACGATGCTCTACTACACCCCCGAGCTATTCGCCACCATGGGTCTCACCTCCTCTGCCGCCATCCCCTCTGCCAGCCTTGCGGTGGCCCTCGCCCGCACGCTCGCCTCACTCGTCCCCGTCTCTCTTTTGGACGAGATTGGCCGGAGAACGCTGCTTCTTATCAGCACTGCAGGTGAGCAACTGTGGTCAGGTGCGAGTCAGGTTCACAGCACGGCTCTCTCTTCCCGCTTCTCTGCTCTCTGCTGCCATCCTCTCTGCTGCCATCCTCTCTGCTGCCATCCTCTCTGCTGCCATCCTCTCTGCTGCCATCCCCTCTGCCAGCCTTGCAGTGGCCATCGCCCGCACGCTCACCTCACTCGTCCCCGTCTCTCGTTTGGACGAGATTGGGAGAAGGACACTACTGCTCATCAGCACGGCAGGTGAGTTTCAGCTGTCGCTTCTTTGCTTTAGCAGCCTTGCGGTGGCCATCGCCCGCATGCTCACCTCACTCGTCCCCGTCTCTCTTTTGGATGAGATTGGCCGGAGGACGCTGCTTCTCATCAGCACAGCAGGTAAAGTGATTACCATGATCTTCTGAGGCGCCTCAAAGTGGGCGCCTCAACGCTGCTTCTCATCAGCACAGCAGGTAAAGTGATTACCATGATCTTCTGAGGTGCCTCAAAGTGGGCGTCTCAACGCTGCTTCTCATCAGCACAGCAGGTAAAGTGATTACCATGATCTTCTGAGGCGCCTCAAAGTGGGCGCCTCAACGCTGCTTCTCATCAGCACACAACAGCTCCCTCTTCTCGCATTTCTGCTCTCTGCCAGCCTTGCCGTGGCTCTAGCAGCCTAGCTCGCCCTCTCGTCTCCTCGTGCGCCTCTCTCTTCTGGCTGAGATTGGCCGACAAACGCTGCTGCTCATAAGCGCAGCAGGTGAGGCGCTGTGATCAGGTGGGTGTCAGTTTCACATCACTCGTGTCTCTCCCCTCTTATGTGACCATAGGGTTTCTAGATGAGATTGGCTGGCGAACCCCTTTCGAGAATTCTCAAAAGCGTTTTTGAAATTTCTCAAAAACGTTTCACATCACTCGTATCTCTCCCCTCTTATGTGACCATAGGGTTTTGAGATGAGATAGGCTGGCGAACCCTGTTGCTTATGAGGGCAGCAGGAGAGCCGTGAATGGAACAAGGCATGGACCTCCACACAAGGATTCTCGAAGGCTAGTTCAGCAGAACCACTTGGTGTGTTAACTTAGCCGGTAACCTTTCTTCCTCACTCCTCTCTCTCCTCCCTTTCCGCTTCTCCATTTTCCTCTCAGGCATGACCGTTGCCCTGCTAGCTCAAGCCATAGTCCTCCACACAATGAACCTCGGAGGGGAATTCGACATAACCTCCGAAGACCCCTCGTCCTCCTCCCCTCTCACCACCACCGCCACCTCTACCGCCTCTTTCCCTTCCCTCGTCGACCGCCCCTTCCAATCCAATGCTGCGGCTCTCTCCGTAATCGCAGCAGCAAACCTAACCGTGTTCTTCGCAATAGGCCTCTCCCCCATCTCCACTCTCCTCCCTCCGGAAATCTTTCCCCTCCAGTTACGGGCGCAAGGGACAGGCCTTGCTGTGGCAGTCAGCAGGCTGGTCGCAGCGGCTCTTTCCTCGTCTTTTCTGAGCCTTGTGGACGCGACGAGCCCCGGGTTTCCGTTCTTTGTGTTTGCGGTGCTGTCGGCGGCTGCGGTTCCGTTTCTGCATTCGTGCATGAGGGAGACGAGAGGGGTGAAGCTTGAAGGAACTTCGGGGTTATTTGAGCCAAGTTTTGCGGGCGGAGTGGGGAGAGGAGGGGGAGGGGGGATGTGGGGAGGAGGAGGGATGGGAGGGGCGGCTGGGGCGGCAGAGGAGGGTGCTGTGATGGATGGGCATGGGAGGGCGATTGGGAGGAGGGCCAGGAATGTGGGAGGGGGAGATAGGGCTTCGACCAGTTGATGCAGTACCTTCCATAGTAGATGCAGATTTTCCAAACGGCAGACACAATGTAAATGAAATTGAAGCCTTCTGTGGCTCCGTGTTCCTTGTTTGTTCCCTCAGAGTCACCCGCCATATTGCAATCGGTGTGGTTGTTGCTTCAATGTGGTTTTAACAGGCTTGCCACAAGTAGGATGCGAGGGGTGTCTGATAGGGTGTCATCTAAATATGCTGGTGGCATTCGCATTATGTTAACTATCCGAGTACAGTGCTACAAAGAGAGTTCATTATGTTATTATGTTTTGTAGGGACAGTTGCAAAACATAACACATGCGACTACATTATTTTATCTCAACTACGGTATCTTCTTTCTTCTTGATTGGTTCCTAGTCCACAAATCTTCTTGCATTCAATGTGGCTCAAATTTATGAACGAACAGCACTCACTGACACGTTGGATTGCGCGGCTCGATGTCAAATCTGCCGCGCTCCGATGTCAGTCCTCCATAGAACTGTTCAAATTTCGTTCATCATTGGCGCTCCGACACTACGAACAAATCGATTGACTTTGCACTTCCCTTCGGTTTCTCCTCACCTCACATTTTCAGGGGCAGATAGGTAAGTTAGACAAATTCACGCAAACGCCTGTCCTTTCTTTGTGATTGGATGTTTTGTTGTACACCTGATGCCCAGCCCCTGCACGCAAATTTTCCTTTACCAGGTGGAAACCTTGCGCCCGTGGTTTTTTTACCAGCCAGTTGCACCCATGTTATAAGCACGTCAAGCAAGCTGCAGTGATATTAACCAATACGAACCACAGAAACTGAAGTTTGACCGAAGTGACTGCAGTCAAACTGTTACAAATTTTCTTATGAGCCCTTATAAGCACCTGACGAATCAATTTTTGCTAGCTGCGAACTGGCGAAATTCTTGAAATCGCTTACAATCCCCCTTCACAAGGCAACCTTGGGTTAGTCAAACGAGCATCATGTGTAATCCAATCGTTTCGTGCTCGCCCTTAGCTTCTTTGAAAGGTCGGAGCGTCAGATCGCACGACGTGTGCGTCAGCTGGATCATCCATCCACATCTCGCACGCGTCGCATTTGGTGATAAATTTGGAAGCGCCTCGTGCGTAAATTCACACTTGGCTGGTATTGTACAGCATTCGGGGGACTGCCCAGTGCCCCCCTGCCAGAAAAAGCACGTTCAATGCATGCAACGGAATGAAAACGCAAGCTCCCTCCCTCCCTCCTCTTCTGTCCTTCACCTTCCTCTCATGATCCCAACTTCCACACACACATCACCGCACAACCACCCACGCCTGGGCTCTCAAATCAACACACCACACCATCAACGTTGAGAAACAGAGAAACTCCAATCCATTGTCAAGTCCGAAAACACCGTCGTCCCGTCGACCGACACCATGCCTAGCCCTCCGATTTCCGAGCTCCACTACTATGCCATCAATGCAAGCTGGCTGGCAGAGCATCAAGTCAAGTTACTCTGGCGTCCACTGCCCACCCCGATACAAAAGCGCACACTGGCAGTTGTAGCAGCTCGGCTCGGCCGTCCCTCGTACAGTAAACGTCCTCTGCGTGATTTTCACTTTACAGTACTCGAGCAGAGCCCTCGGTCTACGCACGTTACAGTAGCGTCCGTCCTTGAATCGGCGTGACGAACCAGTGGGAGGCGCCGTCTTTCCGAAGATGCCGCTCTGCCGCCCCCGTCCTTGCTATACGTGTACTACAGTACGACGAATCGCTGAGAGGCTCAGGTTCTCGCTCAATCGTGCCACGACCAATGTACAGTGCATCGTGAGTCGACGTCGCCGGGTGTTTCGAAACGTTCGACTCAGATTACACCCGACCCGGAGTCCTCGCTCCCGACCTCCACGCCGCTTGATGCTCCAATAGAAGCGGAGGTCTTTGCTCCACCCCTCATTGTCTCGTTCCGCGATTATTGGCACCTATCCGTGACGAGCCCACCTGCGTCTCCTCGCGTCGACGTTTCGAAAGTCGTTACTAAGACGACGTCTTCGCGCGAGTAGCCGACGCCTCACTGCGGCTGCTGCTAAATAGTGAGCTCTTTCTGATCACTGATCACTTCCTAAAAAATACATTCGCAGGCATCTTCTCGTCATCGTTTCGAACCGCTCCTAGTAGCCTCTCTAATTGCCGCTTTGATTCTCCTCGCGAATCAAAAGGAGTCCGTTGACTCCGTTGGCACACCCTTGATCATACCGTCTCGACGTCCGCGGTCGGCGCTCATGGACGGAAACCGTTCCGTCATCGTCGTCCTGCCCGACGGCTCCCTCCGTCTATTCCTCCCCGATGGTACTCCGTCCGGCTGCGATTCGGGCCCCAATTCCGCCATTCCCGCCGGAATTTCCGCGCGCAGGGTCCTTGCAGACTTCCCCCGTCATGTTCTCGTCACCAATCCACCGCAATTCGCGGCGTCAGACCCGGCGAGGCCCTCTCCACCGCTGCCCGCCGTATCCGCAGATTCAATCCTCGTTCCAGCTAAGACTTACTACCTTACAGCCGCCGGCGGCTGCGCGGGTGGTGAATTTTCCAGCGAGGCGCCTCATGAATCATACCTTTCAACCGAGGCGCTTCGAACCCACGATCGCGACAACGTGTTACTTTCGTCCATTGATCGCTGTCGCGTCGCGGACGGTTCCGATACTTCGCCTGATCCTCCGCTGGACGGTTCTGATGATGCCAGCTGGACGCTCCGTGCCGCCGCGCTGAGCTGGCAGGTCAGCGGCGACGACACGCCGATCTCCGCCAAGTCAGCTCAAGTCAACGACTTCAAACCGCGGCTGCGCGGCGGCTCGGCATTCGTGCCATCATCCACCGAACCGTCACGTCGCGAAAGAAGCTGCGAAATTGGACCTTTCGCCGGGGGCGACGGTGGTAACTCACGAACGGCTGAACTCGTCGCGGCTTGGCTCGACGCTGACGTGGAATCGGACACGCCACGCGCGGCTGCCGTCGGATTCGAGAGGATTTTTAGGCCCGAGCCTTCTCAGAAGAGGGATCACATTACAGGCTTCGGAACTTCTGTGGACCGAGCTTCTGAATGGACTCGAATGTTGGAAATGCCGCGTCGAGACATGCTCCATCGCAGCCATAGTAGCACCATGCTTGGACATACAGCTGTTGGTACTGCTGCTGCTGCTGCTGGTGGTGCTGGCGCCGATTGTGCTGCAGAGTGGAGCTTGTTTGGGACGGCCCAGCAATCGATTCGGGTGTCGGATTCAATGCCGCCCCCAGCCATGCTCCATCGCAGCCGTAGTAGTATCTCACTCGGTGTTACTGCTGCTGGTGTTACTGCTGCTGGTGCTGCTGCTGGTGTTACTCCTGCTGGTGCTCGTGCTGGTGCGGCTGTTGCTGCTACAGATTGGAGCAGTATCATGCATGCGCCTCATGCTGTGAATCGGATTCAGCGCCGCCATACATACGAAGCTGCTGCTGCTGCTGCTGCTGCTGCTGCTGCTGCTGCTGCTGCTGGTGCTGGTGCTGGTGCTGCTGGTGCTGGTGCTGGTGCTGCTGGTGCTGCTACAGATAGGAGCAGTATCATGTATGCGCCTCATGCAGTGAATCGGATTCAGCGCCGCCATACATACGAAGCTGCTGCTGCTGCTGCTGGCGCTGCTACTGACAAAAGTAACCCCGTTGGAACCATCAGCACTGCTGTTGCTGGCGCTGCTGCAGGCAGGAGTTACCTCGACAGTAATCCTGTCGATTTAAGTACTCTGAACTCGTATGGCTTGAGGAGTCAGAGCCAGCGCTACAGCCAATGGAGTGGCTGTAGCAGCAGTGGCGATGCTAGCGGGAGGAATCAAGGGCGAGACGTCACCAGCTACAGCCCCTGGGGCGGCTGTAGCATTGGCAACGGCGGCAGTACCAACAGAACGAACCTCAGGCGGGACGGCAGCTGCAGCTACAGCCCTTGGGACGACTGTAGCAGCAGCAGCAGTAGTATTGAAAGCCATGGGTGGATCGGCAGCAGCAGCTACAGCAGCATTGCAACAGTGCAGGACTGGGTGAACGAGACTAACGGCTGTAGCAACGGCCGCTACAGCCTTCGGGTGGACGAGGATGCTGTCTGGCTTCAGCAGGCCTGCTCCCCCCCGCTGCTACAGATGTGCTCGGATGTAGCGAGTTCTGCTACAGCTGTAGAGGACTCCACGTGGGAAGAAGACAGCGCCTTGAGTGTCGAGGTGAGGATTCAATACAGTCGAAGGTGAGGATTCATTATGTCTTCTCATTGTCCCTATGCACGTCTACATGTGTCCCTTTTGTTATGCTTTCTAAACTTACATGCATACCACCACTTAAATACATACCACCAATTATGTCTGCTGATTTTTGCACCACTACACATTGATCCGCATCCAATTTTTTCAGCATCCCTCACTCTACCTTCCCTGTCCGTTTTCGCAATAATTACTATGTATTCGTCGCATCAGTGGGTGCCTCGCCTTGTGATTAAAACTCATACAAACCGAAATACACTCCTTTGTATCTCTCTTCACCTTGCAGATGGCAGTTCTCTGCTACTCATCCAACCCTCGCAGAGCATCACTAGACACCCAGGCATCTACGATGCCTACAGTACGCACCCTATCTACAGTGTCTGCTTTTGAGTCGACTCAAAAGTCCAACCCTCGCAGAGCATCACTAGACACCCAGGCATCTACGATGCCTACAGTACGCACCCTATCTACAGTGTCTGCTTTTGAGTCGACTCAAAAGTCCAACCCTCGCAGAGCATCACTAGACACCCAAGCATCTACGATGCCTACAGTACGACACCCAAGCATCTTCGACACCCTATCTACAGTGTCTGCATTATCTTCAGAATTGGAAGAATCTACACCATCGTACACTGTACAAGCAGCCTCTTCTACTGCACAACCACAGCAGTCCCAACCTCGGTTCATCAAGGTTGGGACTTCTCTTCCACCTTCCCTCTATGGGTCCTGTACCATTGCTACTGGGACTGGTGAGTTTGCCAAAAGTGGAGAATTTGCCAAAAGTGGCAAAGATGACCCTCAAGTCCCTTCTGCCAGCAGCCACACATCTGCCGCTGGTGCCAGCGAAGGTGTCTCTACAGCCAGTGCTGCTGCTTCTGCTTTCTCTGCTGCTGCTGCTGCTTCGGGGAATGTTTCTGGCAAGGTTTCCGCACAGAAGCATGGCGCTAGGGTCAGAAAGAGCGTGTCTGGTGGGGTGGCCCAGCTCAACCAGTGGTTCCTGGGTGGACGCAACCTCGCCTGTGCTTCTGGGACTGCTGTTGGCACTAGTGCTGCTGGCACTACTGCTGCTGGCACTGCTGCTGCTGGTGTTGGAACCTTATGAAAATTCTTAAAAAGTCAGTGGGGTGGCCCAGCTCAACCTCGCCTGTGCTGCTGGGACTGCTGCTGCTGCTGCTGCTGCTGCCGAAACATGCTGAGTGCTGCTGCTAGGAAGATGTTTCAGTAGCAGCTGAGAAGGGAGCAACGCTGAAGCATGGAATGAGCGTGAGGAGCGTTTCAGGAGGGGTTGGTCAACTAAACCGGTGGTTTCTGGGTGGATACCCCCTAGCCTGTGCTGCTGGCGCTGCTGCTGAAACCTGCTGAGTGCTGCTGCTTAGAAGATGTTACAGTATAGTACACTTGCAATGTTTTTGTCATGCCCATAAATGTATGATTACACATTTGATTGTTTCTGCAACAGCACAACTCACCACAGTCCGAAGTGTGACGCTCGTAAGGGCACAGGCTCCAAGACCAGGCTAGTACCGTATGTCCAAGTTCGTTCAATAACTGAAGGCGCCTATTGGTAATATTGCCTTGGAAGTCGGACACCACTAAACTCACATTCTCAGCATTTATGCACCCTTGTTAACAACTCATACCGTAACAGCTCGCATCAGTCCTTGACTTACATATCTCACCTGCAGAGAAGCAGTAAGCTTTTAGCTTATAAAACCACTGTCTATTGTACGAAGCCACCCGAGTCGGAGCGAGAAAATGAAAAAAGACCAAGTTTTGATTCGTAAAATAGAATAAAAGAACATAAGAAAAGCTGCAACCTGTAGGACAGTGAGCTGTTAACGAGTCAAGACTGCTGCATAGGGGCAAAGATGCTCTTCAGGAGATCCTTCTTGTTGACCTACCAGGGAAGACACGAGAGAGATGGATATGCGACGTGAGAAGGTGGAAATCGGTGATGCCATGACATGCTATCAGCCATCATAAGGAATGGCATGTGGCCATGTGCATGGCTTTGCGTGTGCTGTTTTGCATGTGATACCATGGCATGTCATAGCATTGCATTTTGCATCGAGGCTGCTACTGCCGTCCCACTTTTCCTGTGGTGGTGGTGGTGGTGCATGGCATGGCATGATGGATGGGCCATGATGCGTTCAATGGCATGGCAGTGCATATCACATGCCATGTTGCATTCAATGGCATGGCAGTGCATATCACATGCCATGTTGCATTCAATGGCATGGCAGTGCATATCACATGCCATGTTGCATTCAATGGCATGGCAGTGCATATCACATGCCATGTTGCATTCAATGGCATGGCAGTGCATATCACATGCCATGTTGCATTCAATGGCATGGCAGTGCATATCACATGCCATGTTGCATTCAATGGCATGGCAGTGCATATCACATGCCATGTTGCATTCAATGGCATGGCAGTGCATATCACATGCCATGTTGCATTCAATGGCATGGCAGTGCATATCACATGCCATGTTGCATTCAATGGCATGGCAGTGCATATCACATGCCATGTTGCATTCAATGGCATGGCAGTGCATATCACATGCCATGTTGCATTCAATGGCATGGCAGTGCATATCACATGCCATGTTGCATTCAATGGCATGGCAGTGCATATCACATGCCATGTTGCATTCAATGGCATGGCAGTGCATATCACATGCCATGTTGCATTCAATGGCATGGCAGTGCATATCACATGCCATGTTGCATTCAATGGCATGGCAGTGCATATCACATGCCATGTTGCATTCAATGGCATGGCAGTGCATATCACATGCCATGTTGCATTCAATGGCATGGCAGTGCATATCACATGCCATGTTGCATTCAATGGCATGGCAGTGCATATCACATGCCATGTTGCATTCAATGGCATGGCAGTGCATATCACATGCCATGTTGCATTCAATGGCATGGCAGTGCATATCACATGCCATGTTGCATTCAATGGCATGGCAGTGCATATCACATGCCATGTTCCTACTGCTGTCGCATCTCACCTTGCCCATGGCGTTGCGTGGCATGGTAGCAACCACTCTCAAGCGCGATGGCACCTGCTTGCAAGGGGGAAGGGCGAGGGGAGGTGGCACATGGTCATGATGAAGGGGAGACAAGAGGATGCATGGCATGGCGTGCCATGGCTTAGCATGGCGTTGCGTGGCGTGGTAGCAACCACTCTCAAGCGCCATGGCACCTGCTTGCAAGGGGGATGGGCGAGGGGAGGTGGCACATGGTCATGATGAAGGGGAGACAAGAGGATGCATGGCATGGCGTGCCATGGCTAAGCATGGCGTTGCGTGGCATGGTAGCAACCACTCTCAAGCGCCATGGCACCTGCTTGCAAGGGGGACGGGCGAGGGGAGGTGGAATATGGTCAGTATTGCAGGAGAGAAAGAAAGATGGTTGCATCGCATGGCACGGCATGGCATGGCATGGCATGGCATGGCATGGCATGGCTTGGCATGGCTTGGCATGGCACGGCATGGCATGGCATGGCATGGCATGGCATGGCATGGCATGGCATGGCATGGCATGGCATGGCATGGCATCGAATGGAATGGCATGGCATGGCATGGCATGGCATGGCATCGAATGGCATGGCATGGCACGGCATGGCATGGCATGGCATGGCATGGCATCGAATGGCATGGCATGGCATGGCATGGCATGGCATGGCACGGCATGGCATGGCATGGCATGGCATGGCACGGCATGGCATGGCATGGCATGGCATGGCATGGCACGGCTGCAACACACACCACAGCGCACCTTGTAATGGGCCATGCGGGGGGCTGCCCATTTCCTCAGCTCGTCCAGAGTGATCACAGGATGCTCTCCAGGTGCTACCTCGCTGGTGTCAGAAACACCTCCCCTCTCTTACGCCTCTTCCCTCTCTTACGCCTCTTCCCTCTCTTACGCCTCTTCCCTCTCTTACGCCTCTTCCCTCTCTTACGCCTCTTCCCTCTCTTACGCCTCTTCCCTCTCTTACGCCTCTTCCCTCTCTTACGCCTCTTCCCTCTCTTACGCCTCTTCCCTCTCTTACGCCTCTTCCCTCTCTTACGCCTCTTCCCTCTCTTACGCCTCTTCCCTCTCTTACGCCTCTTCCCTCTCTTACGCCTCTTCCCTCTCTTACGCCTCTTCCCTCTCTTACGCCTCTTCCCTCTCTTACGCCTCTTCCCTCTCTTACGCCTCTTCCCTCTCTTACGCCTCTTCTTTCCCACCACAACCACCAGGCCACAGGCGTCCCAACAATGCTCTACTATACCCCCGAGCTCTTGGCATTGCATCCATGGGCCTCACCTCCTCTGCTGCCATCCTCTCTGCGAGCCTTGCTCTCCCAAGAAAACATCCTTCTCTTTCCCCTTTCCATACACCCACCACCAGGCCACAGGCGTCCCAACAATGCTCTACTATGCTCCCGAGCTATGTTTTGAGACGTCTCAAACCACAGGCGTCCCAACAATGCTCTACTATACTCCCGAGCTATTCGCCATCATGGGATTAACTTCCTCTGCTGCCATCCTCTCTGCCTCTCATCCCCACACTTACATTCACCAGGCCACAGGCGTCCCCACGATGCTCTACTACACCCCCGAGCTATTCGCCACCATGGGTCTCACCTCCTCTGCCGCCATCCCCTCTGCCAGCCTTGCGGTGGCCCTCGCCCGCACGCTCGCCTCACTCGTCCCCGTCTCTCTTTTGGACGAGATTGGCCGGAGAACGCTGCTTCTTATCAGCACTGCAGGTGAGCAACTGTGGTCAGGTGCGAGTCAGGTTCACAGCACGGCTCTCTCTTCCCGCTTCTCTGCTCTCTGCTGCCATCCTCTCTGCTGCCATCCTCTCTGCTGCCATCCTCTCTGCTGCCATCCCCTCTGCCAGCCTTGCAGTGGCCATCGCCCGCACGCTCACCTCACTCGTCCCCGTCTCTCGTTTGGACGAGATTGGGAGAAGGACACTACTGCTCATCAGCACGGCAGGTGAGTTTCAGCTGTCGCTTCTTTGCTTTAGCAGCCTGCGGTGGCCATCGCCCGCATGCTCACCTCACTCGTCCCCGTCTCTCTTTTGGATGAGATTGGCCGGAGGACGCTGCTTCTCATCAGCACAGCAGGTAAAGTGATTACCATGATCTTCTGAGGCGCCTCAAAGTGGGCGCCTCAACGCTGCTTCTCATCAGCACAGCAGGTAAAGTGATTACCATGATCTTCTGAGGTGCCTCAAAGTGGGCGTCTCAACGCTGCTTCTCATCAGCACAGCAGGTAAAGTGATTACCATGATCTTCTGAGGCGCCTCAAAGTGGGCGCCTCAACGCTGCTTCTCATCAGCACACAACAGCTCCCTCTTCTCGCATTTCTGCTCTCTGCCAGCCTTGCCGTGGCTCTAGCAGCCTAGCTCGCCCTCTCGTCTCCTCGTGCGCCTCTCTCTTCTGGCTGAGATTGGCCGACAAACGCTGCTGCTCATAAGCGCAGCAGGTGAGGCGCTGTGATCAGGTGGGTGTCAGTTTCACATCACTCGTGTCTCTCCCCTCTTATGTGACCATAGGGTTTCTAGATGAGATTGGCTGGCGAACCCCTTTCGAGAATTCTCAAAAGCGTTTTTGAAATTTCTCAAAAACGTTTCACATCACTCGTATCTCTCCCCTCTTATGTGACCATAGGGTTTTGAGATGAGATAGGCTGGCGAACCCTGTTGCTTATGAGGGCAGCAGGAGAGCCGTGAATGGAACAAGGCATGGACCTCCACACAAGGATTCTCGAAGGCTAGTTCAGCAGAACCACTTGGTGTGTTAACTTAGCCGGTAACCTTTCTTCCTCACTCCTCTCTCTCCTCCCTTTCCGCTTCTCCATTTTCCTCTCAGGCATGACCGTTGCCCTGCTAGCTCAAGCCATAGTCCTCCACACAATGAACCTCGGAGGGGAATTCGACATAACCTCCGAAGACCCCTCGTCCTCCTCCCCTCTCACCACCACCGCCACCTCTACCGCCTCTTTCCCTTCCCTCGTCGACCGCCCCTTCCAATCCAATGCTGCGGCTCTCTCCGTAATCGCAGCAGCAAACCTAACCGTGTTCTTCGCAATAGGCCTCTCCCCCATCTCCACTCTCCTCCCTCCGGAAATCTTTCCCCTCCGGTTACGGGCGCAAGGGACAGGCCTTGCTGTGGCAGTCAGCAGGCTGGTCGCAGCGGCTCTTTCCTCGTCTTTTCTGAGCCTTGTGGACGCGACGAGCCCCGGGTTTCCGTTCTTTGTGTTTGCGGTGCTGTCGGCGGCTGCGGTTCCGTTTCTGCATTCGTGCATGAGGGAGACGAGAGGGGTGAAGCTTGAAGGAACTTCGGGGTTATTTGAGCCAAGTTTTGCGGGCGGAGTGGGGAGAGGAGGGGGAGGGGGGATGTGGGGAGGAGGAGGGATGGGAGGGGCGGCTGGGGCGGCAGAGGAGGGTGCTGTGATGGATGGGCATGGGAGGGCGATTGGGAGGAGGGCCAGGAATGTGGGAGGGGGAGATAGGGCTTCGACCAGTTGATGCAGTACCTTCCATAGTAGATGCAGATTTTCCAAACGGCAGACACAATGTAAATGAAATTGAAGCCTTCTGTGGCTCCGTGTTCCTTGTTTGTTCCCTCAGAGTCACCCGCCATATTGCAATCGGTGTGGTTGTTGCTTCAATGTGGTTTTAACAGGCTTGCCACAAGTAGGATGCGAGGGGTGTCTGATAGGGTGTCATCTAAATATGCTGGTGGCATTCGCATTATGTTAACTATCCGAGTACAGTGCTACAAAGAGAGTTCATTATGTTATTATGTTTTGTAGGGACAGTTGCAAAACATAACACATGCGACTACATTATTTTATCTCAACTACGGTATCTTCTTTCTTCTTGATTGGTTCCTAGTCCACAAATCTTCTTGCATTCAATGTGGCTCAAATTTATGAACGAACAGCACTCACTGACACGTTGGATTGCGCGGCTCGATGTCAAATCTGCCGCGCTCCGATGTCAGTCCTCCATAGAACTGTTCAAATTTCGTTCATCATTGGCGCTCCGACACTACGAACAAATCGATTGACTTTGCACTTCCCTTCGGTTTCTCCTCACCTCACATTTTCAGGGGCAGATAGGTAAGTTAGACAAATTCACGCAAACGCCTGTCCTTTCTTTGTGATTGGATGTTTTGTTGTACACCTGATGCCCAGCCCCTGCACGCAAATTTTCCTTTACCAGGTGGAAACCTTGCGCCCGTGGTTTTTTTACCAGCCAGTTGCACCCATGTTATAAGCACGTCAAGCAAGCTGCAGTGATATTAACCAATACGAACCACAGAAACTGAAGTTTGACCGAAGTGACTGCAGTCAAACTGTTACAAATTTTCTTATGAGCCCTTATAAGCACCTGACGAATCAATTTTTGCTAGCTGCGAACTGGCGAAATTCTTGAAATCGCTTACAATCCCCCTTCACAAGGCAACCTTGGGTTAGTCAAACGAGCATCATGTGTAATCCAATCGTTTCGTGCTCGCCCTTAGCTTCTTTGAAAGGTCGGAGCGTCAGATCGCACGACGTGTGCGTCAGCTGGATCATCCATCCACATCTCGCACGCGTCGCATTTGGTGATAAATTTGGAAGCGCCTCGTGCGTAAATTCACACTTGGCTGGTATTGTACAGCATTCGGGGGACTGCCCAGTGCCCCCCTGCCAGAAAAAGCACGTTCAATGCATGCAACGGAATGAAAACGCAAGCTCCCTCCCTCCCTCCTCTTCTGTCCTTCACCTTCCTCTCATGATCCCAACTTCCACACACACATCACCGCACAACCACCCACGCCTGGGCTCTCAAATCAACACACCACACCATCAACGTTGAGAAACAGAGAAACTCCAATCCATTGTCAAGTCCGAAAACACCGTCGTCCCGTCGACCGACACCATGCCTAGCCCTCCGATTTCCGAGCTCCACTACTATGCCATCAATGCAAGCTGGCTGGCAGAGCATCAAGTCAAGTTACTCTGGCGTCCACTGCCCACCCCGATACAAAAGCGCACACTGGCAGTTGTAGCAGCTCGGCTCGGCCGTCCCTCGTACAGTAAACGTCCTCTGCGTGATTTTCACTTTACAGTACTCGAGCAGAGCCCTCGGTCTACGCACGTTACAGTAGCGTCCGTCCTTGAATCGGCGTGACGAACCAGTGGGAGGCGCCGTCTTTCCGAAGATGCCGCTCTGCCGCCCCCGTCCTTGCTATACGTGTACTACAGTACGACGAATCGCTGAGAGGCTCAGGTTCTCGCTCAATCGTGCCACGACCAATGTACAGTGCATCGTGAGTCGACGTCGCCGGGTGTTTCGAAACGTTCGACTCAGATTACACCCGACCCGGAGTCCTCGCTCCCGACCTCCACGCCGCTTGATGCTCCAATAGAAGCGGAGGTCTTTGCTCCACCCCTCATTGTCTCGTTCCGCGATTATTGGCACCTATCCGTGACGAGCCCACCTGCGTCTCCTCGCGTCGACGTTTCGAAAGTCGTTACTAAGACGACGTCTTCGCGCGAGTAGCCGACGCCTCACTGCGGCTGCTGCTAAATAGTGAGCTCTTTCTGATCACTGATCACTTCCTAAAAAATACATTCGCAGGCATCTTCTCGTCATCGTTTCGAACCGCTCCTAGTAGCCTCTCTAATTGCCGCTTTGATTCTCCTCGCGAATCAAAAGGAGTCCGTTGACTCCGTTGGCACACCCTTGATCATACCGTCTCGACGTCCGCGGTCGGCGCTCATGGACGGAAACCGTTCCGTCATCGTCGTCCTGCCCGACGGCTCCCTCCGTCTATTCCTCCCCGATGGTACTCCGTCCGGCTGCGATTCGGGCCCCAATTCCGCCATTCCCGCCGGAATTTCCGCGCGCAGGGTCCTTGCAGACTTCCCCCGTCATGTTCTCGTCACCAATCCACCGCAATTCGCGGCGTCAGACCCGGCGAGGCCCTCTCCACCGCTGCCCGCCGTATCCGCAGATTCAATCCTCGTTCCAGCTAAGACTTACTACCTTACAGCCGCCGGCGGCTGCGCGGGTGGTGAATTTTCCAGCGAGGCGCCTCATGAATCATACCTTTCAACCGAGGCGCTTCGAACCCACGATCGCGACAACGTGTTACTTTCGTCCATTGATCGCTGTCGCGTCGCGGACGGTTCCGATACTTCGCCTGATCCTCCGCTGGACGGTTCTGATGATGCCAGCTGGACGCTCCGTGCCGCCGCGCTGAGCTGGCAGGTCAGCGGCGACGACACGCCGATCTCCGCCAAGTCAGCTCAAGTCAACGACTTCAAACCGCGGCTGCGCGGCGGCTCGGCATTCGTGCCATCATCCACCGAACCGTCACGTCGCGAAAGAAGCTGCGAAATTGGACCTTTCGCCGGGGGCGACGGTGGTAACTCACGAACGGCTGAACTCGTCGCGGCTTGGCTCGACGCTGACGTGGAATCGGACACGCCACGCGCGGCTGCCGTCGGATTCGAGAGGATTTTTAGGCCCGAGCCTTCTCAGAAGAGGGATCACATTACAGGCTTCGGAACTTCTGTGGACCGAGCTTCTGAATGGACTCGAATGTTGGAAATGCCGCGTCGAGACATGCTCCATCGCAGCCATAGTAGCACCATGCTTGGACATACAGCTGTTGGTACTGCTGCTGCTGCTGCTGGTGGTGCTGGCGCCGATTGTGCTGCAGAGTGGAGCTTGTTTGGGACGGCCCAGCAATCGATTCGGGTGTCGGATTCAATGCCGCCCCCAGCCATGCTCCATCGCAGCCGTAGTAGTATCTCACTCGGTGTTACTGCTGCTGGTGTTACTGCTGCTGGTGCTGCTGCTGGTGTTACTCCTGCTGGTGCTCGTGCTGGTGCGGCTGTTGCTGCTACAGATTGGAGCAGTATCATGCATGCGCCTCATGCTGTGAATCGGATTCAGCGCCGCCATACATACGAAGCTGCTGCTGCTGCTGCTGCTGCTGCTGCTGCTGCTGCTGCTGCTGCTGCTGCTGCTGCTGCTGCTGCTGCTGCTGCTGCTGCTGGTGCTGGTGCTGGTGCTGCTGGTGCTGGTGCTGGTGCTGCTGGTGCTGCTACAGATAGGAGCAGTATCATGTATGCGCCTCATGCAGTGAATCGGATTCAGCGCCGCCATACATACGAAGCTGCTGCTGCTGCTGCTGGCGCTGCTACTGACAAAAGTAACCCCGTTGGAACCATCAGCACTGCTGTTGCTGGCGCTGCTGCAGGCAGGAGTTACCTCGACAGTAATCCTGTCGATTTAAGTACTCTGAACTCGTATGGCTTGAGGAGTCAGAGCCAGCGCTACAGCCAATGGAGTGGCTGTAGCAGCAGTGGCGATGCTAGCGGGAGGAATCAAGGGCGAGACGTCACCAGCTACAGCCCCTGGGGCGGCTGTAGCATTGGCAACGGCGGCAGTACCAACAGAACGAACCTCAGGCGGGACGGCAGCTGCAGCTACAGCCCTTGGGACGACTGTAGCAGCAGCAGCAGTAGTATTGAAAGCCATGGGTGGATCGGCAGCAGCAGCTACAGCAGCATTGCAACAGTGCAGGACTGGGTGAACGAGACTAACGGCTGTAGCAACGGCCGCTACAGCCTTCGGGTGGACGAGGATGCTGTCTGGCTTCAGCAGGCCTGCTCCCCCCCGCTGCTACAGATGTGCTCGGATGTAGCGAGTTCTGCTACAGCTGTAGAGGACTCCACGTGGGAAGAAGACAGCGCCTTGAGTGTCGAGGTGAGGATTCAATACAGTCGAAGGTGAGGATTCATTATGTCTTCTCATTGTCCCTATGCACGTCTACATGTGTCCCTTTTGTTATGCTTTCTAAACTTACATGCATACCACCACTTAAATACATACCACCAATTATGTCTGCTGATTTTTGCACCACTACACATTGATCCGCATCCAATTTTTTCAGCATCCCTCACTCTACCTTCCCTGTCCGTTTTCGCAATAATTACTATGTATTCGTCGCATCAGTGGGTGCCTCGCCTTGTGATTAAAACTCATACAAACCGAAATACACTCCTTTGTATCTCTCTTCACCTTGCAGATGGCAGTTCTCTGCTACTCATCCAACCCTCGCAGAGCATCACTAGACACCCAGGCATCTACGATGCCTACAGTACGCACCCTATCTACAGTGTCTGCTTTTGAGTCGACTCAAAAGTCCAACCCTCGCAGAGCATCACTAGACACCCAGGCATCTACGATGCCTACAGTACGCACCCTATCTACAGTGTCTGCTTTTGAGTCGACTCAAAAGTCCAACCCTCGCAGAGCATCACTAGACACCCAAGCATCTACGATGCCTACAGTACGACACCCAAGCATCTTCGACACCCTATCTACAGTGTCTGCATTATCTTCAGAATTGGAAGAATCTACACCATCGTACACTGTACAAGCAGCCTCTTCTACTGCACAACCACAGCAGTCCCAACCTCGGTTCATCAAGGTTGGGACTTCTCTTCCACCTTCCCTCTATG